CATTGGCTGAGCCAGTTTTACACAACTAGAACTAGGATCCCGAAATCCTCTCTTTTTAATACTTGTACGCTTTTTTATTGAATACGACTGTACCTACATTATTTTTTGTATACTTTTTGTTCCAATACTTGTCGAAAAAACGATAAAAAACGCATTTTTTGATTCACTTAACTCCGTTTGACGGTAGGTAATTATTCAAAAATACGTTTGAATGTCATTTCCAAATTCATACCTATTAGCCATATACAGTGTGTCCCAAATTCGATCCTCACCATTGGTATCTCAGTAACTATGAGAGATGAGAGTCGATTAAATTACGAAAGTTTCAGCAAATTCCATCTTGATTCAGAATCCGTTTTAAGAAACCTAGACTAGCTTCAGTCATTTTATATTCATACAAAAAATAATGAAAATAGTGTTCTACCGAAAAAAAATGTTTGATCACTCTGTATTTTTTGTCAACATCGTTTTTTCCTGGAATCGTCCTTGGTTCATCCTAACTAGATATTTGAAATCTCAAATATTTCCTTATCTGCATCATACGTATAGATATGTACTTCGTGTTAATAAGCCATGGGTACGTTTACTTATTATTCAACATTTTCTTGGTGATGATTTATTACCTTTTATTACTACCGAAAGATAGAGGTGAATTAATGCCTAGATCTGGATCTAGATTTCATTTTTCTATATAGATCAGATTCCTACTTATTGTTAGTGCATAAGAAGTGGTAAGAAATATTTAAATCTCTTGTTTTCTACGTGTTTGATTTGCCTCAACTCTCTGCTATTTCTAAGTAATTGAAAAAAGCACAATCTAATTTTATAAACTACTATTACCTAATACCTACTGATATTATACAAAATTTGAACGGTATTGAAAATTACACATCACACTTTCAAAAGTTATATAACCTTCAACTCATTCTTTCGATTTTTCAGGATCTTGACCACAAAATGAAATTCAAGCAAGGTATAAAATGCATGATAACACTGATAACCCTGATAGTGACTTTTAATCCAGTTGCCTGTCAAGACAGTAGAAATACTACTACAGAAAACCCAACTGACATCAATTCAACAGCTCCTGATTCTGCTGAAGATATTTATGATTATGACTACATAGTGAAATTGCTTTTCTATGTAAACGAAGAAAAAATACCCGAATATATAGTGGAACTCATATACTCCAATTCTACTGAGAATAATATTACAGTTGAGGATATTCTTTCTTTGTATGGTATAAGTAATGTCAGCTTATCTCAAACACAAAATATTTTACAAAAACTGAATATTCAAACATCGAACGTTTTGAGTATGGATGGTTTGGACAATTTCATGAGAGAACTAAACATTCAATTCAGAGATTTCTACAACAACGTATTACTGATCAGACTGAACGTATCAGGATTACCGTTGAAACGTTTTCTGATGTCCCTAGGAATAGATAGTAGCGAATTCACAGATGGAATGGCCTATGGAGAACCCGATCCTTATGAAGAATTCAAAAAAGGCAATTTCTCACAAACATCCCTAGAAAATGCCCTGAAAATTATAAACAAAACGGCAAATGAACTGTTCGTTGCTTGCAGAAATGAAATTTATGGCAGAGCAGTCAGTCTAGAAACAAATAAAGCTGTTGAAATACTGAAAAGATATAACTTCCAATCGAAAAAAGCCATAGAGCTGTGGACATACTCCAACATCACTATAAACCATTTACAAAACATTCCAGTATTCAATAATTCTCTTAATGCCCTTAGAAACGAGCAGACCGAGAAGACCTTCTTAGGGATACTGATCAATTCGACTCATATCGCAACCAATAAAATAGTTCATGAAATTTGGCAGCAAGAAAGTTTTTCCAAAATGTACGCACAAATAGTAACTAGTACAGATAGACGAGAGATCGAAGAGTTGTCGAGTTTTATAACAAACGATATCATTTCGCTGAACCTGAATGGAACTTTGAACACTTCATTCTCCATATTAGAAACGAGTCTGGATGGTATGGAAGACTGCATCTTCGTTACTCTACTCAATGATACTTTATTACTAGAAGCAGTCGATGAAACTGAAGATAAGAAAGAATATATCGATGTGAGAACGCAGATTAACAGGACAGATATTGTTCTAGGCAGTCCGTTGATATGTGGGGGAAAAGTGTATGGACTAGCAGCACAATTGATGGACACAAATCATATTAGGTTTGATTCATTTTATAAGGAACCTATAAAATCAAGTGCTTTTGGGTTGGTATTAAGTGAATATTTATTGTTAATGAGTGTGTTGCTGTTCTTTTCTAGATAAAATATTTTTGAAGTTGAAGTAAATACCAATGAGGTGAAAATTACTTGTTTTTTCACTACTAAGAAATCACCATTATTCATGAAATTACTTCACAAAGAGTAACATGTTTTTAACCTGTATTTATTGCAAATCAATCGTCCCGAAAATGTAAACCAAATATGTAGGTTTCCCACCTGAATTTGCACTTCCTTCAGTGGAATTGAAATATAAAATAATAAAACATGCTGAAACCACCAAAGTTAGTAGTGAAAAAAAGATTATACAGGGTGGGCCACAAGTAACGCCTCGGTCTCTAGAAGGCTAACCACTTATCTTCTTGGAATTCTTCCTCTCTAGGAAGTTGCATGTCAACATAGGCTACCATTTGAAATTATTTTGAAACATACAGGATGCCCCCAAAAATCACAAAACACTGAAGTTGAACTTTTTTAAATCGAACACCCTATATATTATTTCATTTTGAGATTCTCCCTGATGAGCTGATTTCAACGACCCATCATACTTGGGGTCTAGCAGTTATAATTACTGAGATATAGGGTGTGAGAAATCGAGATTTTCCAAGTTCAAGAATTTTTTGTGTCTAAACCATTCATAATTGGTCAAAACGGCTCACATGTCCCTATCTCAACTTTTGATCAACTATCTACTGACATTTAATTGAAACAAATACAGGGTCGTGCAGAATTCAGAATCTTGATCACCCGGTATATGTCCCAATTAAATATCAGTAGATAGTTAATCAAAAGTTGAGATAGGGACATGTACGCCGTTTTGACCAATTATGAATAGTTTCGACACAAAAAATTCTTGAACTTGGAAAATCTCGATTTTTCACACCCTATATTTCAGTAATTATAACTGCTAGACCCCAAGTACGATGGGTCGTTGAAATCAGCTCATCAGGGAGAATCTCAAAATGGAATAATATATAGGGTGTTCGATAGAAAAAAGTTCAACTTCAGTGTTTTATGGTTTTTGGGGACACCCTGTATTGTTCGAAATAATTTTAAATGGTAGCCTATGTTGACATGCAACTTCCTAGAGAGGAAGAATTCCAAGAAGATAAGTGGTTAGCCTTCTAGAGACCGAGGCGTTACTGGTGGCCCACCCTGTATACACGGTGGCCCAAAATGTGTGGCTGATAGTACAGTCGTATTCAATAAAAAAGCGTACAAGTATTAAACATAGAAGATTTCGGCATTCTAGTTATCGTTGTATAAAATTGGCTCATCCAATGCTTGTGTTTTTGAGAACCTATGATTACTCTACTGTCAACATTTGGTAAACATTCATTCCCGATAGCCCATTTTAGGCAAATAGGATGACGTTAATTTCTCCCTCCAATATACTTGTACGCTTTTTTTTTTAATACGACTGTACATCCAAAAACAAATATATTTTTTCTACTAACCTATTTCAGGAAAGATTCACCTCTTTGAAAGAGGGGATGATATATTTCAGTTTCACAAAGTATAATATGTCACAATGAAGTTGAGATAGGTTTCAATTGATTTATCATCGAGTTGACCATCATGAATGTCAAACAATATTTCGAAGTATTTTTCATGTGTTGAAAAATGTTAATTGCACAGGTGTTTGAAAATAATAAACAAGTTAGTGGTGAAAAACTTTTAAATACTGGCTACAATCCTGTAAAAATACCCCTTAACCCGTTACCACTGAGGTGAAATATTGTCCTTCAACTACTGAGGTGGAGTCCTACAGACTCCGACTATCAAAAAGGATAATTTCAAGGTATGGAAATTGAAATAATTGCAATCTGAGTACTTTCCACCAATTTTAACAATAAAACATTATTGGTAATTGTATAATAATAAAATTAATTCGCAATTATGTTACTGAAAGAAACACATACATCCCTTTTTAGGTAATTTCATACCTTGAGATGACGAGTGTTGAGATGACCTTGGAATGTGAAATTTGAGCTGTGAGCAAAAGTAAATGAAATAGTTCACAGAAAAGATATCTACTTAGGAATGCAAAAATTGAAATAATTGGACTTGGAATAAACAGGTACAAGTGAATGTGCCTAATGAGACATTTGTTATCACTCAAATCAATATTTCAAGCATTTATCGATGTACTAATTTTAGCTAATATATAACTGAACACTCAATAATAACACTCAGTGCAGGGACGGTTTTATGGGGGGGGGCGATCGCCTCCCCCTAAACACACTGCCTTATGCCTTATTGATTTTATTATAAGTTTACATATTAATCGAATCAAATTTATGGACCTGCCTGACACGACACCTGAAAAGTAAAATTGAATAAAAGAAGCCGGCGAAATTGTGTCCTATCCAGCCTGCTATACACTATACAGTGACAGTGACTACACTGGACTTTGCTCACAAATGGGGCAGAAGTGGCAGAACAGATCGACTGGTTTGGCTCTGTTACACATACATCGAGATATACCGCCAATATTCGAAAATTATTGCGACAAATCAGCAATAGATAGTTGTAACAAAAACAGCTCGAATTATGGCCACGCTTCTTTTTTATATTCCGCTCGCGTCTACAATTGCTGTACCTTTTTCTTTTCGCCCCCCCCCCCCCCCCCCTTCCTCAGTAGATGTCTAAAACCGCCCCTGACTCAGTGCAAATTGATACTTTTTCTTTCACATTATTTGTTCATTTATTCAATATGTCTGCATAAAAATTATAGAAGTAATGGTGATTTTCACTATGACTGAAAACAATGAATTGAAAAAAAAAGTTATATTATCAGGTACATCAGAGAAATATAAAAAAAAAACAATTTGTAGCTGAATTATTCACAATAATGTATTCACCATCTCCAATTATCAATTCTTGATTTTCTGAGAGCTTCCAAAGATTTTTCTGCTCTCTGTCTTGCATCAAAGTGTATTCTGAGATTACCTCCTCTGGACCCACTTTGAACTATAGATTCATGTTGCAAAGCCCTAGAAACGCCTAGAAAAACACGAATTTCAATCGAAAGTTCGCAATCCAATGAAGGTATTTCGATCATTATCGAATTCAATTTTAATTGTTTAAAACCCAGTTTAAATTGGATGACTGTTATTATATTTGAATAATAGAAAAAATTATAGAAAAAATATAAATTTATTGTATACTTCATCTCACTTCTTCTTTGTAAACAAATGAGAAAAGTGAGGTTGCGTTTCAATGTTTTACCTCCAGGGTCGGTCATCTGACAGATCTTAGAAGTTAGGAAGTTAGGCTCTATTGACCTATAAAAAAATGTATTTGAAAAATCAAGACAGATGTCTAATTCAAGAAAATGAAAGACAATGTATATCAAAGAATAGTACCAAACCGAAATTGGAGTCACTTAAACTAATCATTTCATTAAACATTTTCCGATATCCCTAGAATAATGTATGTTCATTCAAAATACACATAAAGTTAAAGTTTCACCCATATTCAGGAGCAAGAAATAGCTGCTAAATATTCTACAATTTGAATGCAGTAAATGGAATTTTGTGAAAATAATTGTTCTCATTTTCAAGACAACTGATTCAAGTTCACCCCTTGTATAACACGTTTTCTTTACTATGTTGAAAGAGTTTTTTTTTTAATGTTTGCAATGTTGTATTCATTCTACACTCACCTTTTTTTTGAAAAAGTTTACCCAAAACATAATCATCATGTGTCTCCACATTCTCTTCCTTCTTGCTCTTCTTCTGTCTTTTTATCTCTGTTTTGACTAATCCATCAACAATTTCCCCATCAATTTTTCCTGAGGTATCCACAATAGCTTTATCTTTCTTCCTTTTTTCTTTCCCAACATTTTTAGGTTTGCTTTTTTTGTACTTTTCTATAAGTTGCTCGGGCTCCTTTGTGATTTTCTGATGAATGATCTGAGCTTTCTGTATGACTGTACAATGATCAGCTTTACTTGAATTGAGCACGTGATGGAGTTTGGCTGTTTTTTCGGAGTACTCAAGTGCCTCAGAAAAACTAACTGTGGCCTCACAATTATCGATTTTGTTGATAGAAGCTGTCTCTTTCTGTTTTGCTTTTTCTCTGTTGTAGTCTAAAAGTGCCTGGGGTGACAAAGTTTTAATTTCTTCTTTTTCTTTCAATTTTTGTAACTTTTCTTCTTCTAGTTCAGGTGGTAGTATGGATTTTGGCTTTGTGAGACTTTTTGCTATTTGATGTGCCAAATTCTTCATTTGCTGGAGTTTATCTTCAGTGAATTGGACATCCGATTTTTTCAGTTTCTTTGATTTCAGCTCCTTTTTCTTCTTCATGCTCTCCTGAATCCTGACCTGAAATCAATTTTGCTTTTTACCGAATTTGTATCATACAGATCTTGACATACCCTCGAATTATGGAATATATTGGCAGTTTCTGGATTGGAGTCGGTTGACTCTTGTAAAGAAAATAGATCATGAAGATCAGATGATCTGAAAAATTTATTTGTTTTGGGGTCCAGGAGTATTTTATTACTCAGGAGTTGTTTCCAAACTTGCCTCTGATACATCTGAAATAATAAAAAAAAACGGTATACTTTCAGTATTTCAAACATTCTGCAAGTATATACACCTTTTCCTCAATAGTTCCGGCAGAAAGTAGCCTATAAACAGTGACGTTTTTCTCCTGACCGATCCTCCAGGCCCTTTCCCTGGCTTGGGTATCAGTAGCAGGGTTCCAATCTGGATCATAGATGATTACCCTGTTTGCACCTGTCAAATTCACTCCTAATCCACCCACTCTAGTTGTCAACAGAAACACATCGAAACTGGAATCCTGGAAAACACCTGACATAGTAAATTGAAGAACGATAGGTAGCACCCATTTCAAAATTTGAAATATGCACTATTTATCAATTTGTACCTGGTTGAACTTATCAATCAAAGACTGCCTACTTCGGATAGAAGTGGACCCATCCATCTTCAGGTATTTATAGCCATGTTGGTCCAGGAATTGTTGGAAGACAACAATCATTGCTCTTCCTTGAGTGAACAGAAGCACTCTATGACCTTGCTTTTTCCATATTTTCAACAGAGCAGAAACCACTACCATCTTTCCAGATTTTTTGTAATAACCAAATTTTTCTTCTAATGGCAGAGAATCGTCATCCTAAAACAAAATATGAGATGTGATAAGTAATTGAATATTCATTTATTTATTTATTTATTTCAGTTCTTGCATTACATTCTCTTCTTCATTGATACATTTCATACAAATAATATATAAAGTATAATTAATTTTCTAGTAGGAATGACCTGAATGATCAGACATTAATTCCTGGTATAAGATCATTCATAAAGTATTATCGACTGTTGTATAATTGAAATTACAAATAGTGAACAAAACTTACATATCATTAAGATACAGTCATATTATAGTGAACAAGAAGGGGAAAAATAAAAACAGTGAAAAAAAAAAAGAAAAAAGGAAATCCATAGTCTTTCAGCTTTGGTCATTCCTTTGCATATAAATATATTTCTTGACTTTATTTTTGAATTGCATAATATTTGGGCTGTTTTTGATATCATCTGGTAAATTATTGAATTTTGAAATCGCCTCATGTGTAAACTTTTTTTGTCCAAGTTTAGAATTTGCAGCTTCAAGATGAAACAAGTTATATTGTCTAGTGTGATGATCATGAATTTCGGAATTCCTGATTAATATAAAATTTGATTTAAGCTTTTTGTTGATGATTTAATAGGAAATTTTGAGAGTATTGATTAAAAAGTGCTCTTCCAAAGAAAATGTGTTTGTTTCCTTATACAGTTGATTCGTTGGAGTATCATATGGAAGACGATACAATACTTTCAATGCCTTTTTATGTAGAACAGAAATTTTATTGAAACTATTTTTGGAACAAGATCCCCAAATATTTATGAGATAGTTAATTCGACTGAGTATATGTGAATAGAGAATAATATTTGATGTATATGTACTAAGTTTAGGACATCTTCTCAAAGCACCAATAATGGGAGATACTTTTCCTATGAGGATGTCTATATGCTTTCCCCATGTTAATTTCTCATGAATCCAAATACCAAGGTATTTGGTATGGGCAGTTTGTTTCAAACGTTCATTTTTGAATTTGAGTACTTTTTCAACATCTCATATTCATTCGAGTATTTCCCATTTCTGTCATACTAAAACGACAAAATTAAAACGTCGAATTCACTAAAGAGCTCTAAGTAGAACCGACCAATATTTGGATATGTATTTTATGATGGGTTAATGTGCTGATATCTTTAGCATTTATTTTGGATCTCTCATTCACATGGGAAGGTTTCTTACCTCAAGTGAATTGCTATCCTCTTCAGACATGAAAATATCGGGATGATTGCAAATTTTTCTTAACTTGGTGATAGCAACCAAAACACCAGCCCTCAAAGATTTTTCAGCATACCAATGCTTGATACCTCTTCCTAACATCGTACTCACTTGTTCACTCTACGAAAGCGCCAGTTAAAACACTTCTAAACCAGTGAAAAAAAAACTTACCATCAAGAAGTTCTTGTACAAGTCTATTTGATATTTTGTTAGAGAGCAGAATAGGACCTGCTCACTTTTATTTGGCAGTGAAATGTGGTGTTGTACTTCGGATTTGGTTCTACGGAGAAGATATGGGTCTATTATGGATTTTAACATTGTAGCAACTGACAATGCTGTAGCTTCCTATATACATGAGAGAAAAACACATTATTGTGGAAGTATTGTCGTTCTATGAAAACCTGGTAGGCGAGGTATGCAAAAGTTGCCCCTATCGACGATATTTTCAGTAAGCCAGTGACCTCTATCCTAATCCTATCCTAATTCCAGAAATGTTTCATATTCCTGTCAAGATTCACTTTTCAGTCGAGTTTGTAAACGAAAATTCTTCAAGTTGAAGCATTCAAAGTATTAACATTGTTATTGTTCTACTATCTATCTAGACTCTAGAACGCTAATGCTATAAGAAAGAAGGAACCATGTGGGCTGTCTCCCACCCTAATAGCTAAAAATTTTTGTGTCTGGGAATCATTTGAATCTCTATCTGATTAGCGTTGCCATATGGCAACGCACGGCGCTAATGGGTTAACCCATGAAAAAGCGGTGTGCATAAATCCACATTTATTCTCATTCTGTTACACACTCACTTGTGACGGCGTCGAATTGGCGAAACCCCCATGCAATATCGGATTGGCGAAATGCTCCTGGAACGTCGCGGAATCCCCCAGCACCCCGGGATTCGTGAAGTCGAATAGGCTCCACAGCTCCGTCAAATTGTTCTGCATGGGGCTGCCGGTCAGCATGATCCGGTGTGGCGTCCTGATCCGCTTGACGGCCACGGTCGCTTTGGCGGCGGGATTCCGGATTTTGTGGCCCTCGTCCAAGATCAGATAGTGCCAGTTGTAGTCGACGAGGACGTCGTTGTAGGTGAGGACGCCGGAGTAGGTTGTGATCAGTATGCCCTTGCTTTTATGCATGTCTTTGATGAGAAGTGCCTTGTTGCCTATGGAGTGAGAAATCGAAATTCGGTCAGGTTAGGTTGAGTTAGGTTAGGTGGTCTTAGGTTTTTTTATGTCCGGGTTCCCACGAAGAAAAGGGATATCCTGTAATGTTCAGAGAACATCGTGAGAACCAAGGGAAATAAGGAATTGGTGTTCTTCTTAAATTTCTGGAGGTTATATGCCTCGGGGAACACCTCGCTTGGTGGTGTTCCAGAGCCTCGCTGTTCGTTGGATGAACGAGTCTTTGGATAGAGATGTTCTGCAGGTCTTCAAAGTGGCCACGAAGGGGTGCGAAGCCTCAACCCGACGGGTTGATCTCGCGGGGACTGCCAAGGAAGGAACAATAATTGTTGATATTTCAGAAGAGTATCGTCCATGAAAATATCTATAAAATAGAGCCAGATCGCCAATTTTTTTTGGAAAGAGATGTTCTGCAGGTCTCCAAAGTGACCACAAAGGGGTGCGAAGCCTCAACTCGACGGGTTAATCTCGCGGGGACTGCCAAGGGAGGAACAATTGTTGATATTTCAAAAGAGCATCGTGAATGAAAATTTCTATAAAATAGAGCCAGATCGCTAACTTTTCTACGGTGTTCCAGAGAAGTGAGTGAGTTTGTGAGCGAGGCATCACCCACCCCTTTTTTGGGCAGAATCCAACAGTTTCAGGGTATGTTTGGGTGCTGCACTCCAAATATGGGAAAAGTATTCCAGGACAGGTCGGATCTGTGCCTTATAGATCATAAGCAGCTGACTGGAAGTGAAATAGCTCCTGGCCCGAATCAGAAAACCAAGTTTTTGGGATGCACTTTTGGCAATTGATCTCACGTGATTTTCCCAAGAAAGGTTATTGCTGATAGTAATACCAAGCATGGAAATGGATGCCTTCAAAGATATGGTTACTCCTGACAGACTTATGTTGGGCACAGTGAGATCGGCATTTCTAGAGAAAAGGCATGCTTGTGTTTTGTTTGTATTGAAATCTATCAAGTTATTGGATCCTCATAAGAGAATTGTTGCCAAGTCCATATTCATGTTGTTAACATGTCGTTTCTGATTTGCCTGGCTGGTATTGGAGCCCTGGAAGAGAAGGCGGTATGGATGGTACTATCATCCGCGAAGCTGTGTACTGGACATGAAGTTGCTTCCAACAAATCGTTGATATGGAGTAGAAATAGTATTGGTGCTAGAATTGATCCTTGCGGAACATCAGCATTTATGATGAAACTCCGTCGACCACTAGGTTAGGTTGTCTTAGGTTAGGTAGTCTTGTCGTCGTTGTATGTGAGGACGCCGGAGTAGCTTGTGATCAGTGTGCACTTGCTCTTGTGCATATCTTTGAGGAGAAGTGCCTTGTTGCCTAGATGGAATGATAAATTGAAATTCGGTCAGGTCAGGTTGTGTAAGGTTAGGTTGTCTTAGGATAGGTAGTGCCAGTTGTAGTCGACGAGGACGTCGTTGTAGGTGAGGACGCCGGGGTAGGTAGTGAATTGTGATCAGTATGCCCTTGCTTTTATGCATGTCTTTGACGACCAGTGCCTTGGAGTGAGAAATCGATAAATTAAACTATTCAGTGGATGAAGGTTTTATAGTTTCAAGTACATGGAATTTTTCAATATTGGTTCGGGTGTTTACTGAATTTGGGAGTTACAATTTGATGGAGGATCATTAACAAATATTGCAGTACCTATAGGTCTATGATTCTATATATGGCGCCTGGTTGGCACCATATATAGAATTATGTTACTAGAACAATTGAATACCCACTATTCATGATTTTCTTTGATTATATGACTTGTAATTCTGATACCAACTGGAATTTGCATATAAAACTGATTCATCACACATAAATAATTTCACTGGGTGCCAACCAGTGTATAGTTTGACAGGTCATTGGATTGACTAATTGTAGTCTATGAGGGCGATCATTTTGCGATTTCAAAAATGGATATTTTTTATAAAGAAGGTACCTTGATAACTTCCAGATTGATGAAGTATGGCAACTCGGAACTCTGGGGCCCATTCATGAAAATGTTTGACCCACTGTTGGATCACGGTGGCCGGGCAAACAATCAATGATGGTCCCAAACCATTGAACCTGCTCCAAGAAAAATTATGGTTTCTCCATTTCATCACTGGTCCTGTTTATTGTTGTTAAAACATTGTGGATACTAATTTAAATATCTTCATGACATGATTTCTTCAAATCCAAAATCAAAATAGATATTATAAGTATTAATTGATCAATATATGAAGGACATGAAGTTTTTTATCATGTTCTAGTACTGCTAGAAAGGAAATATTTTGAAATTAGTAGATAATAAATGTTCAATGATCAGATAACATATTTGCATCTTCAGAGGTTTTGACTACAGATCCACAATGTTTTAGGGATGGGTATTCAGGTAACCATTCAGAAAAAGATTATACCCGAATAGCTACTACTACTTCAAAATAAAGCAATCAAGAACATCTATAATATTCTCGTCAGATATAATACAGCATGCTTTATAATAACTTCGACATTATGTCCTTAGAAAACATCTATAAATATCAAGTATCTCTCTATATATAAAAAACGCCACCCAAATTTAATGTTGGATTTTTGCAGTGACATACACAACTATTACACCCAGCAATCAAATGATGTAAATTTATTGAGGGTCACATCCACAAATGGCCAAAACAGCATATTTTTCAGAGGCGTATCCATATACAATAATATACCTTTAGAAATCAGAGCATTTGATACAAAGAGATTCAAAATTATAGTTAAAAAAATGTTCAGATAATTCAACAGCACTAGTCCAACTACTTCAATGTATTCTATGTATATATTCTCAAGACTTTCTTACACTTGTAAATATACCTATCTTTAGTCCTTTATCTATTTATCTTTATTATTGATACTGTGTAATATAGTTTGTAAAGTAACTTCAGTAAATTGTCTTTACATTATATATATATATTGTGTACACCCCCTTTTTCTCCTTTAGTTTTTCATAATTCTCTGAATCAAATGATACCATATAAGTGACATTTCAAACTTCAATATTGATTTCAATTTCATTTTTGATTTTTCATTTGAGTGTGCCATGACTATTCTGATGGAGTCTGAAGTACTAATATTATCAGGTGTAATGCTTAAAAAAATTGAATCCTGTCAAAAATGTAAAATTTCTTCATTTATCACCAATTTAAGTTCATGATCCTGTTACACCCGGTATATCCTGTATTGTATATTATATATTATCAAAATATGATCCTTATATATAAGAGGATGAATCTGTATAGAATGTGAATTCTCTTGATTCAATAAAAGTAATTTTACTATCAAATATGATTTTCACATTTTATTTATAATTCTGGGACATTTATTTCATCAAAGATTCTACTTTTGCAGAGAATTCCTCAGATTAATTTTTGACTTTCATTAATAAAACTGATAATAACCTTCCATGACAGGATATAACCCTGCTGAACTCCAAAGCATGCAGAAACACTATGATTTGTACAGTTTTTCCTAATCCCATTTCATCTCCCAATAATCCACCTGTTGCTTTTTGATGAAGCTGCCACAGCCAATGAATGGAATCTTGTTGATAACTGGAAAAACCCATTAGATTAAAAACAATCACAATTAGAAAAAATCCAGGAGAACTGGCAAGACTGAAGTCATAACTGGTACAGATTCCAATCCAGCAGGTCATTTCAGGTAAGAAAAAGTGCTATTCAGAGGGAATATGCAGTTTTAGATTCATATGATTTTTCCATCTGGACAAACCCATAAAATTCAAAATTCAAAAATCCCCATTATTTGGAGTAATATGTGGTTTTGAAATGTTTGGTAATTTTTTGGGTAATTTTTTCATAATGAGTACATAGGACCAAAATAGGGCTTTATCAGGATACTCTTGAGTGTATTATACACATAATAGATCTTGGAAAATACTTATGTAATACCTAGGAATAGGGTCAACATCAGCTGCTAAAAAAAGATACCAAAATATACACCTGAAAATTAAAATCTAGGTAGTTACAAAATGATGAGAAACAGGGCAGATGGAAATAATGAATAATTGATACCACTAAACTTGAGACAATATATGGACTTAGACTAAAGCTTGAATAGTGAAAAGGCAATATTTATCAAGTAATATTTTCAACTCAATTATCTCAAAGATTGTTATAAACATTATACTATGTACATACCCATAGAGTTTAGTCCAAATATTGATTGGGACTCTCAGACCTCCTTTTATAGAGTGGAACTCAGCTGTTACCTGTTTTTCTTCATGATCCTCATCATTATCATCTATACTGGATACATTTTCTTCTACTTTTTTATAATATTCATCAAGTCTCTTTTTATAATTTTTCCATTTTCCATCATCTTGAATTTTATGTTCACCTAAAGATGTTTTCCTCTTTTTCTTTGGTGGGTTATCAGGTTCAGCTATTTTGTGGGGTACAAATGATTCATAATCACTATCTGAAATTCAATTTCAAAGAGTTAAGGATGGATATTTATTAACAAATGGAAGCTACCTTTTTCATTTTCAGATGGAATATATTCACTTCCAGAATTATTTTCATCTTCTGAGGCATCTTCACTTCCAGAATTAGCTCTAATACATTTTGTTTCACCTATTACATCAGAAGTAGAATTAGTACACCTTCTAGAATATAATGTATTTATTTGAGATGTGTCTTGTTGATACTGAGATTCATTTTCTGATTGATTGGATTTCTCAGGTGAAAGTTTACGTTTGTGTTTTTTTATAACAATACTTGATTTTTTAAAATTAGAATGTATGGTCCCAGTGGTAGGATGAGCATCAAGGGCCTTTTTGAAATCCTGTCTCTTCTTCAGATCTTCTTGTCTTTGGATATACTGTTCAATATTCAGAACTGAGAAAACTGAGCTGTTTGCATTATTATAATCTTCATTGCCTGTTTCAGATGCTTCTATTTCACCATCTTCTAATTGATCAGTAGTCGAATTTTCATTGTCTTTTCTGAGAACTTCTAATTCTCTCAAAGCTTGTTCTTCTAATTCTTCTTGATTTGCACTCCATATGTTTACATTTTCAGAAGATAGTATTTTGTTAAGGTCAATATTCTGGAAAAACAAAAGTATCTGAATGAATACTGGCCACATAGCCGCGCGGACGAAGAGTATTCTAATCTAATCCACATTCACATGTGGTCCTGGGACTCCTGGGTTCAATTTCCCTTGACTGCAGAAATTTTTCTGATGGCCCAAGAAAGTGTTTGGGATCACACATTAAAAGGTAAGGCCCCCGTCATTCCTTGCTCGCACAAGTCTCTTGAAGACTTCTGAGGGTTGCTCGTAAGGGGGCAACCGAATGACGGATAGAAAAATTTCAACAACAAAAAATTCAAAATTTCAATTCAAATACTGATTTTTTGAATGGAATGCATGTTTTTTACCTGATTATTCATTATTCCACTTGGTACAGCCAGGTACAGCCAAGCCACTAAAAACACCCTTAGTACCTATTTAGTACCTATCAAAGTGGTGATGGTGATGTTGATGTCTATTTCAATATTTTCAATTTATTTTTTGCATTTTTTCTTAACGACTAGAGTATAAACACCTAAAGCGGGATTTATAGATTGAAGCGCAGCCGCTGCCGCTGTAGTTGCAGCCGCCGTAGCAGTTCTGGAAAATTGAGTCAATTTATACTTCATTCCTAGAGGAAACTGTTTTTAATCATCAATAGATTTTTGTTATTTTTATCTTTCTAATTGTATAGATGATGAGAGCTCTCTACCAAATTTAGGAATACTCCTATATCAATGTTCTCCATTTTTACTATAATTTTCCAACATTCAACAACCAGAAACCAAATTTTGATAAAAATATAACACAAATTCTGGAGTAATCTGGAGTCTAGAAATTTTTTTGACACAGAAACACAGAACTGGAAATAAGCGGCGTTCACAACAAAACTTTTTACGTTTCCTATTCTGATTGGTGAAGCAGAATCTGAAATTAAACGTGAATTGAACTTGTGCAAATGTCATTCACAACAACAAAAATCAACGAGACTTTTTACGGCTTTTCTCAGTTGCCTTTGTGTTTCGTCCTAATGAAGTTGAATAATCATAGCAATAATATTGATTAGATGATTAATAATAATATTCATAGAACTGGCGGTGACGTAAATTGATCCTTATTCAATACTTGAAGAGAAAAATCAATCCTCAAGTAGAAAATGATGAATTGAACAGTATACCTATCTAATATTTCGTGGATTCACGAAAGAATCATGAGCAAAAACATTGTCATAACTTCCATATAGAATGTTCCATACATGTATTGTTTTATCAGAACTAACAGTAGTATTTTCCATCTTCATAACGATATCATTTGTGTATTTTTATTATTTTTACAGACGATGGCTTCTTGCAACGCAAAAAGCTGAATATTTTCAGCTTTTTGCGTCATTTCAATTACAGATTTTGCTTCACCAATCAGAATACGAAACGTAAAATGCAAAACATAAAAAGTTTGGTTGTGAACGCCGCTTTAGAGTTTGAACGGCGGCTGTAACCACAGCGGCAGCGTTTACGCCTCAATCTATAAATCCCGCTTAACACCTCAAAGGAAAAGATGTGGCAGACATATTCGTGTCATTAATCATTATTGTCAAATTGACAATGTCAATTATACAATTATCATTCATTATCATCAATTGAAATTAAAATGCTTATGCTTGCTGAAACCATAATATTGGTAATTTCAATGAATTTTTGAAATTGTGAGTACTTGGTGAATATTGTGAATTGGGCGGTTTTCTATCTATGGATTGATCATTCCTGATTGTGATGAGAAAGTTGAATCAAAACAAACTAGTAGTGTTTTGAACTGTGATTTTGAACCAAAGATTTATATCTGAAGACAAACCGTTGCCACACTCTTCGGATTTGGTTTTGTTCTTAGTTTTTATGGCCAAATTATGGCTACAGATAACTCCAAAAAACCAGATATCCAGAAGAATTCTGGTCTCAAAAAATGTTTCTCAGCATTAGTTGACCGCAAACAAGTGAATTTGGACATAGATGTATTGAGGCTGATGCTCAAACATGAATTACTAGTAAATGTTGAAGCACTGGATGATAACTTATCATCCATAATGCCCTTCATGCTGGTATTGTATATCCGAAATTGGCCTGGATGGCAGAGAAGCAAAGAATACTATAGTGGAAAACTGAACTTTCGAGAATGGTTTGAAAAGTTTAGACAGTTTATTGTTGTGAGGCTAAATTTCCTAATAAAAAATGGATATAATGAAGCAATAGAAATGATCAAGGAGGATAGAAAGCAAGGGAAACCAAATAGTAGCTTCAGAGAACTTGGGGCACAAACAGACTATTTGGCTCCAAAAGGACTAGCCCCTTTCTCAATATCCATACAATGCCCTCCTAGAGTTCTCAGTTCTTTGGTATTCTCTGATTCAAATGGTAAGAGTTTGTAATTATTTTGAGAGATATGATACCTTTCAAAAAGCTTCACATTTCTGCTTGCATCACTTTCTTCTCTCAACCTATTCAGAACATCCAACTTGGAACATAGCATTATCAATCTTATTTTGTTTTCTATAGATGATATAATTTTACGCCAACATCCTGATGTAGCTTGGACTAAGATAGGACTTAAAGAATTGGTGAACTGGCCTTACATTGGGGTAGAATTCATCAGTCCTGAGCTGTCTTTCAGAAGATTCAATCGCAGTGAATATATTAGATATTTGAACATGATAACATGTCCAATTGTACCAGAAAAAACAGACTTCATTGAACATGTTGAAATTATTGATCCAAGTAATGGAAGACACTGTTACACACTAAACTTGCTGAAGAGTTATACTGATCAATATATGAAAATTATGAAATCTGTAAGTATAAATAGACATGGTCTATTTAATTTTAATTCTGTATCAAATTTGCTATCAGTAGTACATGGCATGAGCTTTGATAGGTAATAGCTTGACATGCTCAATTCTATGAAAAATCACACTATTCCAGATCTGCAATTTATATGAAAATATTATTTGATTTTTAGACAGTATTTTCTGGACCTCCTGCTGATATTGAAGTTATGGAAGTAATTATTGATGAATTCCTGAGTGACATTGAAGAATTAGATATGAATAAAACAATGGCATCAAATACATCAGTTTTATTCAATATTGGAAGGTCAAGTTTTCTAAGAAATAAAAAAATAGCAAAAGGGTAAGTTGGAATTCCATTCAATTGACTATTCTCCCACTTGTATAAAAAAATTCTTGTTGCCTACAATTTATTGATCTGTTGCTTTTGCACACAATGAATTTGCTATGATTTAATACTGGAAAATCAATATACTTTTATCTATAGTAAACTGGTATGAAATATTTGATTAATGACCATTTATTTTGAAGTATACCCCAATGAAGATTTTTTCTTAATTAATTCTGGCTTCTGAATGTTATTCTGTTTTTCTAAATCTTGTCAAATACTAGACGAATTTTTTTATAGGCATGCATAGTCAGTATTGGGATAATAGCTTGTATAATGTTGGTGTACTTCACAATACCTACAAATATGTATATATTTGGTCAATAGTAATTATCAAGGATATTTTTCCTGCTCACTGTGGTATTGCAATGATATTATGAAATAATAAATAAATTCTATGGTTCTTTGTTTTGAAACATTTCCAATTTTAGGACATATTTTGTTACTGGTTCAAAAGCAGAAGTTGGCTACTGTGAAAATTTCATTCCCAAAATGGAAACTCAGCTGAACTACTTCAAAGGAGTCCAGGACACCAGCACAAATGATATCACTTTCTCATACTTGAACATTTTGAGCAAAACCTTGAAAAATCCTGAAGGTTCTTCAGGTACCACCTGGACGGTTCCTCTTATCATATTTTACTGCACTTTCTGTAATCTGAAATACACTAAAGCCAAGGACATTCTGCAACATTTAGAAATGGATCACAAAATGGAGCCAAACATCATGTGTGTCAAGTGTATGAAGCATTATACTATAACTAGCCTTACACAGATTAGGTGGAAACATGTTTGTTACAGTGGTGCTGGACAATTCATCAGGCCACCTCCAGCATATAAAAGGTAGAGATTCCAATGTTACATGGTACACTTTTCACTTTTGATATAATGATAATTATACCCCATCCATAGATGGCCTTACATGTATATACAATGGTTCTTTTATCATATGACTTCCAGGAGATCCAGGACAATGTAATTATAATATTACACACACTGGTTTAAAACTATTTGTTTTAAATTTTGGTTGCTTTGAGAAACATCAACAATATCCCAAGAGGGTATATTGAAATTATTGTTGAATACCTATTGAGTTCCATTGCAGTCTTTCAACTATGATAATTTTTCATGTTTCCATTATTGAGCTTGATGATTTATTTCTATCTTTACCCAGGTCACCACATACCATGTTTTGTTTCCTTTTGTGAAGGATTGTGGAAGCTTTCCAACTGCTTATTAAAAAATCATGTTTACAAGATTTTTCCTAAATAAAAACATTGATATCTCTATATTTTTGAAAAGGGGTCCTGTTTTGTCCAGTGGCCCATTACCAGTAGGTATATTGAGAATAAATGATTTAAGTTGTTCATAATTGTAACAACTAATGTCATTCATACAGTGGAAATATTCTTAGTTATATAAGCTATATTTAGCAGATAATAAATATAATTTGAAAAACAATGTTTATATTTTTTCTGGTATTCAATTTGCAAAGATGTGGCTTTGTCACCAAGTTTCATATTTTCATTGTACTATCAAATGGAAATAAAAATCAATACCATGGGCTGTTTAACTAGATCAAAGTTATGAACAGTACCTTGTTGATTTCTCCAGATATTTATGGTGTTCATCTTCTCTTTTCTACAGAAGTATTGAATAGCTTTTTCTTTGAATGTTCATTCATTTCCCCTCTTGTGCATCAGATCTTCATTTTTCGATCATATTTTATATGAAATTACAATTTGGATGATTTGATGACCTCAACACACTCCATGGAGTAGGAGAAACTATAAGAAAAATGGTGTACATTGTAGATTGTACATGGAAATATGTATGTAAACCAGCGGCGTGATTTGTGTTTATCAAGGTGGCGAAAACCCCGAACACCAAGTCGTTGCACGCCCAAAAAACAAAAAATGCACGCAGGGGGAATTTTATTTGAGTTCCAGGTCATTTTGCATTAGAATTGAAAGTTAAATTTTTTCCAAGTGTAAAGGATGTTGGATTGTTAAGTATTATTATCTCGATTATTATTGCTGTTATTATTTAAGCCCTAATATCCTTTTCCTGAATAAATGCCTTTTTTGTACCCCTCAACATCGGACGCCAATGGTGAATGAAACCACTGAACTAATGAAACCAAATCGCATCTTGAATTCGCGATAGAAAATAAGCGTACGCCATCTATTCGGAGTTCTTGAAAGCTGTCAAAGCGGCCTGTTTACTTTGTTTTCATTGGTTCACATTTGTTTTTTGTTTGTGCTCATTGGTCACATCATCAAAACAAACCGCTCAGAAGTGTTCAAGTTGTTGCCGTCAGATGGAGCAACGTGCTATTTTCTATCGCGAATACTGAGATATTAGGGTGCAGTGGCGTACCCAGAAGTGTACCTTGGGTGGGGATATACAAGAATTTTGAGCATTACAGAACACAATTTAAGAGCTTTATTAGCTTTTGATTTCCAAACATTTATTCAAATGTTCATGTCCCATGTTGATTTCGCCCTCAACCGGTGCCTTCTGCAATAATTTTATTCATAGTTTTTTCACAATGTTTTTTTTATCATTCCCACGTGAGTAAATTCTCTATTTCATATACAGGGTGATCCACGGTGGAGTGCCTATTAGAAGTATCGGGAGGACGAAAAGACAAAACATTCTGAAAATTGGGATGATTGATATTCTCTATCCGTCTGAAATATTTTCATCGATACAGTGTTGCCACTTCTATTAGAAACAACTAGCGACTTTGTTATTATTTCAAATGGAACACCCTGATGTATTTTATTGCATTTTTCGGTTCTTCCTGAAGAACTGAATTCACTTGGGGTCTAACAGGAATGATTACAGAGAGATACAGGGTGTTCAAAATCGAGATTTTTCAGTTTTAGGATTTTTAAGTGTCGAAACTATTCATTATCCATCAAGACGGCTTACATAACCCTATCTCAACTTTTGATTCACTATCTACTGGAATTTAATTGTAAAAAATACAGGGTGCTTCAAGATTCAGAATTCTGATCACCCTGTATCTGTTCCAATAAAATGTCAGTAGATAGTAAATCAAAAGTTGAGATAGGAACATGAGCGCCGTTTTGATCGATAACACAAAAAAATCCTAAAATTGAAAAATCTCGATTTTGAACAACCTACATCTCTGTAATCATTCCTGCTAGACCCCAAGTGTGATGCATTGATGAAATCAGCTCTTCAGGAAGAATCTAAAAATGGAATAAAATACAGGGTGCTCCATTTAAAATAACGAAGTTGCTAGTTGTTTCTGACAGAACTGGCAACACTGTATCAATGAAAATATTCTAGAGGTAGAGAGAATGTTCAATTATCAAAGCATCCCAATTTCCAGAATGTTATGTCTTTTTGTTCTCCAGATACTTCTCATAGGCCATCCACCGGTATTTTTCATGATCAACTTGTATCATATTATAGGACCTTTGGTTTGTAAGGATTAAGGCTGATGATGAACACATGTTTCCCTAAATAATCTTTCATTATTAAACATTGTGGAGGTGATTTTGTGTTTTCTAACCCTTTGATCATTAATTAGTTACTTATACTCATCAGTCTTTTCACAGTAGTAAAGGTACCTATACTATACTCTGCATTACTTGGTAGATGACTGAAAATTTGTTATCAAGTTCGTTAGCTATTCTGAGGAAGGCATTTTACATATCAGAAAATGTTGCATGTGCTTCCTCATTTAGGTTTATATCACCTGATATCTCATTATCAGAATATTACAATTTTAGAAATAAGTGAATAAAGTGTTTTATATAACTAGACAGTTTCTTTGCAAATAAGAAAATATGTAGGTAATTCTATCACCAATTTAATTATAAACTAAAAAAATATCAGTAAAAAATTGATTGTTGTCATAATGTTCATGAAACATTGTCAGAAACCATAGATTATTGAATAAACAGAAATATTTTGACAGGAAAGAATTGTTTCGAAAATATTGCAATTTGCCTGAATTTATTCATTGATGAACTGTAATCAAAATCCAAAAGAATTTCGATAAAGCTAGTTATATGTTTATTCTTTATCAAAACTCACTTGTCTAGTAGGTATCAGTTATTTTTTTATATATAAAATTAATCTCTAGGTTCCACACATTTCTACACCTGGTTCTGCAAGCTGTAAGTTTGTGTGCTATTGAGTCTTAGGAGCACTTTCACCTGATGGCCTCAAACCTTTTTTACACTGATGGTGCCACCTATTGTTTGTCAAGTTGGCTATATTGAACTGAAGTTTGCACTTGAAACATAAAACAGGTTGTTCCATTATATGAGTTTTTTCCAGGTGGTTCCAAATTTCATTCAGTCCACTATAACTGGCTACACAAAAAGTACACCTATATGTGATGGAAGGTAATAAACTGCCAAGAGTGGTAGGATTAGTTTCAAAAAGGTCTTCAAATGGGGATGGGTTGTCATCATCTTCAATTGCACTGAAACTTATCAGTGACATAAGCATTCTTGGTTTTAAACACTCTTGAAAGCATATGGCCTCATCACTAAAAAAGAAATGTTACTTTCTAGACAAATCATTCATCAACTACAACTAAGGAAATCTACCTTGTTTTTATGCTCTTATTTCTGGCATATATTGAATTACCAATATTGAATAATACAGATGTATTAGTGGCAATACTGTTCATGTTAATATCAAATATATCTAGAATAAAATCTTCAAGTATTGTTTCAATGTCCTTCAAATTAGTCCCTGACCATTCCTTGAAAAAAATATAAATAATATAATATATTGAAATATGGGAATGTTGATTCCCATTCACTTACTATTGTATTTTGGTGATTCCTCAGTACATTGATGTATGTGTTACAGTATTCTTTGACAGCATTGAGGGTATATGCTTTTCTTAAAATGGTTTGATCTAATATATCAATCTCCTCAATGAAATTATCAGTCTTTTTGAAGAAAAGCTTTTCTGTGCTGAAAGTGAGACATCTCTTGAAATCATGTGTATTGGTTCTTTTGAAATGTAAATGTCTACATTTGAATTCCATTTCAATACAAGGCCAATTAATAAGCTGTCTGGTATTCAGTTTCTTAATCCACAATGCATTTACCCTGTACTCCTTTAGTACCACACTACCATCTAAGAGAAAATAAAAAAATTGTACAGGCTATTTGAGTAATCAATACTACATTACCATTTACTCCTTCACAAAATACAAGTGAATTTAGTACTTTGGGTGGTCCAGAAACTTCAATTGAAAATGGTGCTAAAATTTTTTCTGTAATAGGATTTGTCTGGGTACTATTATCTATTTTGAACAGTACACTTTCCTCAATAGATACACATTTCAGCAACACAGAGGCTTTATCAATGTCATTTTTTATAGTGTAGTTTATTTTGAAAATAAGATATTCTTTGAATTTTTCATACCAGCTTTCCAATGTTATCTGCTTATTAACATAACTAGTATTCTTCTGCCACCCTGGCCAGGACTTTATGAAATGAACTAACATGAAAGGTAGAACATAAATGACTTTTGGTTTGAGTGCATTAATATTGACTTGCAAACTTTTTCTCAATATGTGATTCAATGTATCAGTTTCAAGTACCAATTGTTTTCCATCTATAATATCTCTAAAACAGTCTTCTAAAGAAACTCTTGTTTCTGATTGACCATTTCTTATAGTTGTCATCATCATAATGGTTATCAACTTTTGAGTAGTCCTGACTCCTGAGGTTTTAAATTTTCCTCTTGGGATGATCTAGATGAAATATTGATGTTCTCAATATGGATCACTAATCCAAGACTTTTTACCATAAAGGCTATGCTAAACCCCTCATGATAAGATTACCATAGATAATGTTTACTACCTATGAACATCCTTTACAGCATTGTCGATTCTGGTTATATCATCAATATCGTCATGTTTTCATGGATCTTCAATGCTTCAATTCTAATATTTACTCCAGCGATCAAGGAGAAATAGGAGAATAATAAAGAAACTCTAACCTCAATTAAAAATGACAATGATATTTGACTGCTGACGCGACGTTGACGGTATGTCATTAGTGACGGAACGAGAAGCGACCGGCACCAATCTGAATTATATGACGGCGCCTCGTCCTTCGAGATCACTAAGGTAGTATCGCTTTGCGCGCTAGTTACCACAAGTTTATAGATAATAAAAAGAGAAGAAGAGTACATGGCTATGCCCTTTGCTACCTTGACGTTCCTAATATCATGTCATTCCGTTTTTTGTGCGTCTAGAAGCCACACCTAATTTTTTCATTTCCTAAATTTCAGCCAAAAATAAGTAAAAAGAATATGGGAAAAAACAAGAAAAGAAAACGTTCCAGATCCAGATCCGATTCTCACTCATCAAAGTTAGAGATGAGAATCAGAAAACTCGAGAAAGAACTTTCCAAAACAGGGAGACGCCACCCCAATGATCATCGACAGCATTCATCGGAAGAGAGATATACCAGAAGAACAGACTCGGAGGGCTCTCATGGGGCACGCAGCTCCATAGATCATGCTAGACCAGGCCACTCCAGATCAAGATCCAGACATAGGGAAGCATTAGGGGCTCACGGAGCATGTAGCTCCGTTCAGCCCTCCAGAGCATGTAGCTCTGTCCATCCTGCTAGGCCACCCAGTCCAGTTGGGCCCTCCAGAACATGTAGTTCTGTTGAGCCCTCCAGAGCCAGTAGCTCCGTCCAACCTGCTAGGGCACCCAGTCCAATTGTGCTCCCAGGAACACGTAGTTCTGTTGAGCCCTCTAGAGCAAGTAGTTCTTTGGATTCTTCCTCAACATATATCAGGTCCTCCAGAGCACGCAGTTCTGTTGAGTCCTCCAGAGCAGGTAGCATGGCAGAGTCCCCCAGAACAGATAATAGGGACCAATCACACAGTCCAGCTCCTACAAATAGGGCAAGTTACCTTAGCCCCCAGCAAAGGAGTCAGGCACCCCAAGAAACATCTGAACCGAGACCTGAACCCTCTATGCCTGAGTTAGATTCGGAAACACTAGGCTTCCTAGGGGAGGATCCTTTAGCAAAACAAACAGATGGTATCCAACTGCATGAGGCAGTAACCACCAGGTGGAGCCACATAGTGACTAACGGTCTAGAGAAAAGTACAAGCTCAGAAATACTGGAGAAATACCCTCCCCCTATTAATTGCTCTACCTTAGGAGTACCAGCTCTCAACGAGGAAATAGTACCCCTAATGAATGAGACGATCAAGAAGAGAGAACAAAGAATGACAGCAACACAGAAAAACCTTGGAGCTGGGCTAACAGCATTAGGCTCAGCTCTGAATATTATTTTGAATGAGCCAAGTTCTCCACTAAGAACAGAACTGCTGAAGTTCCTTGGAGATGCAGGACGACTATTTTCCAATGCTCACTATATCACCTCTCTAGACAGACGTGCTAACCTGAGCCAGATCCTATCTAAAGCAGCAAAGGACATAGCCTTCAGCAATAATATCGATCAGTACCTTCTTGGGAAAGATTTTGGTGAAAAATACAAAAACGCCAAGGTCGTTGAAAAATCTAGCCAGGATTTAAAGCCCAAGATGTCACCAAATGTGACCAATCGCTTCAGAGCTCCTGTTGTACCAGATCCAAGGCCACCAATGAGGCCTTTAAACCGGCAGGGCCCAACTCGATTTGTGAGGGAATCGAGATCAAGAGGGCAGCAACCTCATCAGCCACAGAAAAGGAAGGAGGGGAGAAACAGCAACAGATACAGAAGATACTAGAGGTAGGTCTGCCAGGCAGGCTCAGATATTTCTATAAAAATTGGGAGAAGATTACCTCTAATAAAGTTATCTTGAATTGGGTCAGGGGTTATTCCCTACCATTTCAACAGCTCCCTCCTAGACAGCACACTGCTGTCAACACAAGACCCCTTTCCTTGGTAGCCCATGGGTCAGTTCTAGAAAACATCAATAACCTTCTAAAACAGGGTGTTATCTCACAGGTTGAGCCAACAGGGCATCAGTTCCTATCTCCTTTCTTTTTGACCAGCAAGCCAAATAAGAAAGCCAGGTTCATTTTGAACCTAAAACAACTCAACACCTTCCTGAGACCACTCCACTTCAAAATGGAGGATTATAGGACGGCAGCAAAACTTTTGCATAAAGGCTACTTCATGACTTCAATAGATTTGAAAGATGCCTACTACACTCTCCCCATACATGAGGACCATAAAAAATATCTTCGATTCCATTTCAATTCAATTTTTTACGAATTCACATGTCTACCATTTGGACTTTCATCTGCACCCTATACGTTTACCAAGCTAACAAAGCCAGTTCTGGCTTGGATGCGAAGGAATGGTATAACCTGTGTACTTTACTTAGATGATTTTCTGATAATTCATGAAGACTTCTCAAAGTGTAAAATTCAAACACAAATGACTATCAGTCTCCTAGAGTCACTTGGGTTTGTAGTGAACTATGAAAAGAGCATTTTAATACCTTCCAGAACCTGTAAGTTTTTGGGCTTTATATTCAACACTGATAACATGACTATAAGTCTACCAGACGAGAAACGTCAGAAGCTGACAGCCATTATTGATGACATCCTACAAAAAAGTTCTTGTACCATAAGATTTTTTGCCAAATTCATAGGACTCCTGGTCTCTGCTTGTCCAGCCATAAAATATGGCTGGCTGTACACAAAGACCTTTGAAAGAGAAAAAGTACAGGCCCTTCGTAAAAATAGTCACAATTTCAATGCTACCATGATAATTGGAAGGAACCTCAGGGAGGACCTATTGTGGTGGAAAGAAAGGGTCCCCTACTCTGTTAACGTTATAAGGCAGGACAAATATTTCATGGAAATCTTTTCAGACTCATCTTTGTCAGGGTGGGGGGCTGTATGTGACGGAGTGGAGACCCATGGCTGGTGGTCAGAGACAGAGCAAAAATCCCACATCAACTACCTTGAACTGCTTAGCTCATTCCTGGCACTAAAATGTTTTGCCCGTGACTGTCAGTCGGTTAGTATACTCCTAAGGATTGACAACACTACAGCAATAGCCTACATTAATCGAATGGGTAGTGTTCTCTACCCAAAACTATCAAACTTGGCCAAGGAAATTTGGCAATGGTGCGAGGAGAGGGATGTCTGGATTCAGGCATCATATGTATCGTCCGCAGACAACTCAGTAGCCGATAGGCAGTCTAGAATTCTTCCAACAGAGACTGAATACGAACTCAAGTCATCCAGTTTTAACTTCATTTCTCACAGGCTGGGACAACCAGAGATCGACCTATTTGCTTCCAGTAATAATGCAAAGTGTGAGATGTATATTTCTTGGTTCCCTGATCCAGGGTCAATAGCGGTAGATGCATTCACCACTGACTGGAAATACAACTTTTTCTATGCGTTTCCTCCATTTTGTCTAATCCTCCGCACCCTGAACAAAATAATTCTAGATAAAGCAGAGGGAATCCTCATTGTCCCCAAATGGGAAACTCAACCATGGTTTCCTCTCTTTAACCAACTTCTAGTCAAGCCTCCACTCATATTACAAGCTAATGAGCATCTTCATATTCCTTTCAGGTCCAACAACCTGCACAAAGAGAACCTTTTCCTGGTGGTAGGTTTATTATCGGGGAAGCATTCTCAAGAAAAGGAAATGCCCAAAGCACCATCCCAGTGCTGATGGAATCTATATCCTCCTCAACCCTAAAACAGTATGAGGTGGTTTATAAAGCATGGTGGAGTTTCTGCCAAGACAAACAAATAAACTTATACAACGCTGGGGAAGCCCAAGTTATCAAATTCCTGGAAGTTCAGTTAGAAAAGAAGAAATTCCGCTATAATTCCTTCAATTCTTATCGCTCAGCTCTTGCCCTGATACTAAAAGAAAATATCAGTAATAGTCCAAACATAAAGCGATTTCTGAAGGGCATATTCAGACTTAGACCGCCTCAGAGGAAATATAATTTCGTTTGGGAACCTGAAACAGTTCTGTCTTGGTTCAGACAGAGTCCACCAAACGAGGAACTGTCACTAACAGAACTGTCAAGAAAAACAGCTACTTTACTAGCATTGATCACTGCCCACAGAATTCAGACCCTAGCAAGAATTCGTGTACAAAATATAATCATTTCCAGAGAAGAGATCCAAATCTTCATAACTGACCAGCTAAAGACAACAAGAAATGATAAGGAACAACCCTGTCTACATATCCCTTTCTTCCGAGAGAGGCCAGAAGTGTGCGCAGCATCAGCCCTTATTATGTACATTGAGAAGACAGCGAGTATTAGGGGACAAGAACAAGAATTTTTATTCCTGAGTTCTCGCAACCCTTATCAGACAGCCACAACCAGCACCATTAGCAGATGGATCAAGCAATCCCTCTCGAAAGCGGGAATAAATACAGCCATTTTTTCAGGGTACTCTACCCGACATGCTGCTACATCGGCAGCTAACAGAAACGGCATTACCCTTGATGTTATCAGGAGAACAGCCGGATGGTCCAAGAAATCAGAGATGTTTGCTAAGTTTTACAAACAGCCCCTCAAGGACCCATCAGCTTTTGCCAAAGCAGTTTTTACTTAAATGTTGTAGATTTATACGTTCTGCAGATACTATGTATTGATGTATTATTACTTCTTGTTCAAAACAATAATACACATAATTTGATAGTGAGTTTACCAGAATCATTGGAGACTATATATATAAATATATATATGGGGGAGAGACTGCTATTCCTGGGGAAAACACAGATCCTTTGAACAACTACCTTAGTGATCTCGAAGGACGAGGCGCCGTCATATAATTTACCGATTAAACGAACTTACCTGTGAAGTTCAATCGTAATTATATTAGGCGCCTCGTCCAAAGAGATCACACCCACCTCACCCAGATAAATTGAATAACCCGCCGAGTGTTTTCCCCCACTTTAAACTAAATGACATGATATTAGGAACGTCAAGGTAGCAAAGGGCATAGCCATGTACTCTTCTTCTCTTTTTATTATCTATAAACTTGTGTTAACTAGCGCGCAAAGCGATACTACCTTAGTGATCTCTTTGGACGAGGCGCCTAATATAATTACGATTGAACTTCACAGGTAAGTTCGTTTAATCGGTAAATTCCTGTCATAAAGGTCCTGTCATCGAGTCAATCATTGTAAATGTCAATTGTCAATCATATTTTTTCACTGGGGCACTGTGATGTGAATTTCATTTGAAATTTTTTGGTACACGTGAAAGTGAAATATTATTTCTTATTTCAAGCAGGTAATATTTCATTATATTCTTAAACCAATTAGAATTACTTTTTTTAAATATCTGATAATATTTCAGGCTTGGTAAGAAACACCTAAACAGCAACATATTTCGGTCAAGATGCCGCTTTCCTGTAGATTTTACAAGGAAAAATATCCGGAGATAGAAGATGTTGTTATGGTTAACGTACGAGCAATCGCCGAAATGGGAGCATATGTCCACTTACTGGAATACAATAACATTGAAGGAATGATATTATTGTCAGAGTTGTCAAGAAGGCGTATTCGATCCATTAACAAACTCATCAGGGTAGGAAAAACCGAACCTGTAGTGGTTATTAGGGTAGATAAAGAAAAAGGTTATATTGATTTATCAAAGAGACGTGTCAGTGCAGAAGATGTTGAGAAATGTACTGAAAGGTTTGCAAAGGCAAAAGCAGTCAACTCAATTCTTAGGCATGTTGCTGAGCTTCTGAAATATGAATCTGATGAGCAGCTGGAAGAACTGTATCAAAAAACAGCATGGTACTTTGAAGAGAAATACAAGAAGAACAAGGCTAGTGCTTATGACTTCTTCAAACAAGCTGTACTGTAAGTATTATTTTTTCACACTCTTGAGCACTTTTGAGTATCCTACCATTGCACATAATATTCCTAATTTTTTAATAATTGAAATTGAGATATGTTTCATAATGTTGAATTTTGGATTCTCCAAAGAAATAATAATAGTAATTATGATAAGTGGAATTGGTAACACAAATTTCATCTGATCTATAGCATTCCATATTGAAAACCACTATTTTATTATCAGTAATTTTGACTATAGTATAATTATATTGAGTAGGTATCATGGCATCATCAGTATTGGAAGTAGTGGAAGAAAAACCAGCTGCATTAATTTTAGTTTCTATCATTTTGACTCATATTTATTTCAGAGACCCTAGTATTCTAGCAGAATGTGAATTAGATGACAGAACAAAGGAGGTTTTATTAGGCAATATCAAGAGAAAATTGACTTCACAAGCAGTGAAAATAAGAGCAGATATTGAATGTGCTTGTTATGGGTATGAAGGAATTGATGCAGTGAAAACTGCCCTAAAAGCTGGTCTAGCTTTGTCTACAGAAGAACTACCCATTAAGATCAATCTAATAGCACCTCCACTTTATGGTAAAAATACATTTCATTTCAAAGAAACTATTGCTGACAGCTGCATTGTGTATTGATCTAGAATGTAGAGTATGAAATTATTATATTTTGTTTTCATCATTTTGGTTCCATCTTCACTACTTATCAGAAAAAATGATTGTAAAATCAAATATATCATAAATTCAACATACAGTTTAATCAAATAGCAAATTTTTTCAGTAATGACAACTTCCACACCTGAAAAGCAAGATGGTTTAAAAGTTCTCAATGATGCTATTGAGAAAGTTAAAGCATCTATAACTGAGTTGGGTGGAGTATTCAATATACAGATGGCAGTAAGTAAATTAATAAATTATTAATGATTGAAATCATTGATTATATTTCCAAGATTCATTGATTTTGTAGTATGTGTAGCTATCTCTATCATTTTTCCATTATTGTTTATAAATATATTTTCATTTCCTAGCCAAAAGTTGTCACTGCCACAGATGAGGCAGAGCTTGTTAAACAGATGGAACGTGCTGAACTTGAGAATGCAGAAGTTGCTGGTGATGATGATGAGGAAGAAGATGATGAAGGTCAAATTTACAGTGAAGAGGATGGGGAAAATGAAGAAAAGTCTGGGGAGGAGGAATAAGTGAAGAATTATTCAAAAATGACATGTTTGATAGGGTCTAATAATCCTATTAATTATTTACAACAAGAAGATATATAATTTCTTGAATAAAATAATTCTTTTTCAACAAACTGCTCATCATATAATAGCTCTGATATTTTTTTCACTATTCCCAAAATTTGTGTGAGAACAGTTAAAAAATCTTTCTTAGCTGAGAGGAGCTGTAAATAGCTCAGAAGATGCTTCAAAACATTTTAAATTGGTACAAGTAAATTTGGTACCCTGAAAAATACTACACCTTTTCCAGTTGTATTTCAGAAAGCATCAATTTTTTTTTCAGAATAGACAATTGAATTTCAGAAAGCGCCAATTTGTATTTTCAGGATAGTAGCCACTTGTATTTCAGAATAGTCAATTGACGCTTTCTGAAATTAAATTGACTATTCTGAAATACAAGTGATTATTCTGAAATTCAATCGACGCTTTCAGAAATGCGAGTGACTATTCTGAAATACAATTACCCCTTTCTGAAATACAACTGGAAGAGGTGTATTGTTGTTGATTCCGAATCTATACCAATTTCAAGAGGAAAAAATCAAATAATGTGGTTATCGGCATGTTCTAGTTTAGCCCGAACACCTTTTGTTAGTATTATTCGTATCATTTAGTGATTTAGTTTAATTCAAACCCTGGAAAATCAGGTAATCACTACGCTACTGTTTAATGTGCTTGGCTTTTGTCTGCTTGTGGCACTACTGGGCGAAGTTCTGTCGTTGTCAGTGTCATGGTGTTATGTCTTGTCGTGTCAGGGCACTTGTCAGTGATATTTCAAGACCAAAGGTCAAGACGTCAAGAAACGAAGAAATATGTTGGTTATGGTGCGAGTGTTATTTATTATTTAGTTGTTTTTAACTTTTTTAGTATATTCGCCATTCGCCTATCTTTTTATCAAAAAAGTGGATATAAGGAATAATCTGATATTACTTTGTTTTTGATTTCACAATGATGTCAACTAATTTGAAATTTAGGCTACCCACTGGTGAAATCATGCCTCTAATTGGATGTAAGTGAATTTCTAAAGTTTTAATGTCAAAAAAATATTGTCCAAAACATTAGGCATTGCATGAGCATGAGTGGAACATTTATATTTCATTTATTGATATATGAAGTTATTTCCAGTTGGAACTTGGATGTTGAGAGGAGACAAAGTTCTTACAAAAACCCTTGACTTAGCTTTGAAGGCAGGTTACAGACTCTTCGGTAAATATCAGCAAACCAGAACATTTCTCTTCATATTTTACTCTATTTCTAGACACTGCAGACATGTATGGCAATGAAGCAGAGATTGGGAGGGCATTGAAGGAACTGTTACCTAAACACAACTTATCAAGGAAAGATGTATTCATCCAAACAAAACTTGGTCAGAATTGAACACCTTTGTAGTTCATTTCCTCAATATAATTGTGTTACAGATCCTGGAAATCAAGGAGGTCGTTCATATAAAGCCCTGAGACAATCTCTATATAATCTGGATTGTGAATATATTGATTTATATTTGATTCACTGGCCAGGGAGTTATGGAGTGGCTGATAAAAGTCCAGAGAATGCAGCTTTGAGAGATGACAGTTGGCAAAAAATGGTTAGGGCAGTAAAAGAAGGTTTGATAAGGCATATTGGTGTATCTAATTACACCATTAGACATCTGAAACAACTCCTATCTAATAATCATGGGATAAAGCCAGTTGTTAATCAGGTAATATATTATAATTATTGAGGTTGAGATTCCAAATTTATTGTCTGATCTTGAAGGTGGAGTGGCATCCATTTTGGCATCAAAAAGACTTGTATGAGTTTTGCAAAGAACAAGGAATATTGCTACAAGCTTACCAACCTCTAGGTGGTCCTGGTAACAGAGACATTATGGATGATAGGGAAGTTAAAAAGATTGCTAAAAAACTTGATAAAACAACAGCACAGGTAACTTCATGTCTAATGAGAATGTATACAGAGTTAATTTGATTGTTTTCTAGGTAATATTACGTTGGTCAGTTCAACAAAATATAGCAATTATTCCAAAATCACAGACTGAGGAGCATATCTACAGTAACATCCAGCTTGATTTCACTATTCCTGAAGAAGATATGAAAACATTATTTAGTTTAGAACAGCAAAAATATGACTGGGATCCTGAAACTATAGCTTAAAAATAAAAATCCTACTGCCTACAATGAATATTCTCTATTTAGCCAAAGACAAAATTAATTAAATTGATTAAAAACATTTTGAAAAGATGGTACAAGAAAAATGATTGAATAAAATCAATATAAATAATTTGAAATATTTATTTATGTATCTTTATCAAGACTGGAGTCCAGTGGATCAGATGAGATGGTAACAGAGGAATAATTTCAACTGAAGTAGACCTAGTAGAAGCACTCTAGTGCCTGTCTTTGTCTATATTTTGCCGCTCTCCAACTAGTTGTTGATGCTTCTGACTATCAGTCAGGTGGTTCCTGGTTAAAATGGCTGTAAACTCAACTTTTTTCAACAACTTCTATTCCATCAATGTTGTTGAAATCCATTCTGGTTTTCCTTCCTCCAAAAAATATTGAAAGTAAAATGGGTTTGCCTTATTTTATTCAATTTTGTTGAAGAACTCAACTTTTATTATTGATCAATGTGTTTTTACTGCATTTTGGTTTTCCTTCACCAAAAACAGTTGCAATTTCAAATAGGTTAGTTCGTTTTATTTAGTTTTGTTGAATACTTATAACGCACGATGTTCTTGGAACATTATAGGGATTCCCTTTCGTGTGCACCAAGCGATAAAAAAATCATTATTCTTATGACTTTCAAATTTGCCGCCTGTTATATAGACATAGATGGGCACCAGAGAGCGCTTCAGCCGAATTCATGGATCGGTGTCCGATCTCTGGATGGCACAGAAAGAGGCTTATGCGCTTATGTGCTTATGGCCTTGAAGTACCTTGGCTTTGACTAGTCTTCTTCGTTTTTCTTCTCCTTGTTTCTTTAACGTCAGCCTTTTTCTAGTTTTTCTGCTACTGAGGCCTATTACCGACGCCGGTGAGCACACTACATTCAACCAGAAATTTTGACGATTCATTGGCCATGGCCTCGGGACTGCCAGCTTAACGTATCCTCCGAGGGATGGCATATCCGGTACTAGAGTCCCTGTATATACCTTAGGGACTCTAATCCGTATTGGTCACCCATCCAAGTGAGCCGTAGCCGCGTTGAATACTGCTTGCTTCCCAGGGCGATACTCTTCTTCGTTTCGTGGCTTAGATATTTGCGATTGTGAAGATGGTCAGAAAGCCTAGTACCATAAAATATGAAGAAGATGAGATAATTTGAATCTAAATATATTAGGTTATGTTGTGTGTTGTGGTTGTGTTGTTTTGATTTTTTTAGAAATAAATGAATAGAAATGGAAATTCCTCCTATACTACCATGCATCAAAAATACTTTAGAAAATTATCTTCTTCATCCAGAAAATCTTCCAATTCACCAATTTGAGGGAAATCAGCAATTCTGGCCAAGGGATCCAGATCCCAAAGAGTTATTGTATTTTGAAGGGTCACCCCTATCTTCAACTCTGAAAGTAAGTACAGAACCATTTTAGAGCAAATATCAACTTGTATCATTACACAGGTTCAAAGAGATCCCAATACAGGTGAAATCACTGACTTTCGGGAAATATCCATCCAGTGTGCTGGTGCAAATGCCAAGAATTCTATGTCTTTGAATAGAAATCCAGCACCACCAACAGAGGCAACAAGAGGAAATGCATCCTACATACCCTTTTGGCCTGGAAGTTTTCCTCTTCCCAAACAGAACTCCACTAGAGAAAATTTGGATGATAATGGTCAGATAATAACTTTATAATCTGGAATTGATACAGTGATTCAAGGAAGGATTCAACTAATATTGGATTTTTATGTTTGCAGATTTACTTTGGATACCACCAGGATTTGATAGAGGCTTAACATTTGATAAGGATGGAGTTACTTTATCTAGTGGTCAAATCAATGATAATAAAGTTGAAACTCATTCAACACAACATATTATAAATCTGTTAGACATTGTACAAAAGGAACAAGATCTGTTGGGTATATACATACTATATATTTTATGAATGAAATATAAAAAGTATTGGTTTGTTTTAACAGGATTCTTGGGAAATGATAAGAAAATTGAGGGAGAAGATGGACCTGGTGAAAATAAACATGAGAGCTTACCAGAAGAAGAAGAAATTTTACCAGAGGATCTTCCCATCCTGAATATAAGTAGTGTTCCTCCACAGAATACTATTAGAGGAAGTGAATATGCAATATTGCTAGACACAACAAAACCAGTAATAAATTTCAGAGAGAAAGTCCCAGAAATGGCAATTGACTTTCCATTTGAATTGGACACCTTCCAAAAACTAGCTATCCTACAACTTGAACAACATAACCATATTTTTGTTGCTGCCCACACCTCAGCTGGCAAAACAGTTGTGGCTGAATATGCCATTGCACTCTCCCAGAGACACATGACCAGGACCATTTACACATCACCCATCAAGGCTCTGTCTAATCAGAAGTACAGAGATTTCAAGTCCAGATTCAAAGATGTGGGGCTGATAACTGGAGATTTTCAAATTAATCAAACTGCCTCTTGTTTAATCATGACAACAGAAATTTTGAGGTCTATGTTGTATTCTGGCAGTGATATCACTAGAGATCTGGAGTATGTTATATTTGATGAGGTAAGGTGATTGTTTGAAACCCATAATTGATATTTTTAAGTTCAGTTTAAATTAACAAGAAAAGTGTATTTTGTCCTAGATTCAATATTTTGATTCATCTGAGGTTTAATTGAATATTTTATGGTATGCTAATATGATGCTTATTGAAAAAATGGGCTAATATTAAATTATTTCTTCAAGGTTCACTATATCAATGATAGAGAAAGAGGTCATGTTTGGGAACAAGTATTGATAATGTTGCCAGAACATGTTTGTGTGGTTCTCCTCAGTGCCACAGTGCCTAACACAATTGAATTTGCTGATTGGCTGGGTAGAACACACAAGAGGAAGGTATTTGTAGTGACCACTTCAAAGAGGCCTGTGCCTTTGCAGCACTACCTTTACACAGGGAGAGGTGGAAGTTCCAGAGATAATAGATTCAAGATTTTAAATGCAGATACATGGATTCCTAATGGGTAAATACTCAAACATGAAATAAGTACCTGGTTATTTTTTCAAAGAGAAGAGGATCTTGTTTCTTGGTCAATATCAAAAGAGTAGACTAAAGGTTCTATGGAACATTTTTTATATCTTGTGTTTTCAGTGAAAATTTGTTCAAATACTTTTGGAGGGCAATCAATTCTGAGAATGTTTGCAGATGAAATTATAACTCTGAAGTTTGAATTTTGAATACTTCAGTTGTGGGAAAAAACTGTCACATCTTATATGGATGGATTTTGCATGTAATAACTTTGACATTGATGAATAATTTTTGATTGGCTTAATTCTGGGAAATACAGGGATTTCAATTATTTAGGTTATGTCACATAACTGATGTCCAACTTTCAATTTAAGCCAGGAGTTATGGATTTTTCCCTGTAGATTCCATGTCATCCCAAGTCAGATGATGACCTTGGCGTGAAATTGAGATGTTTGGTTCATTTGCAAAATTTTTCAATTTCAACCTACAGTTAATACATCACCAGTCCAGCAACTCATATTTTGTGTAGTAATGATTATTCACTAAACTGTTTTTTATTTTACATGGTTGTCCAAAATTCTCTCCTGATGTTTCTATGGCTGTTAGTGCATTCAAAAACAAACCATTTTCTACAAACTTATTTCTGAAAATGGATATTAAGAGAGATACACCTTTTTTAAGGAAGTCATAATAAATTAGAGATAAATTTCAATTCATTCATAATTCACTAAACTGCCTAATGGCTAACATTTTCACTCTCACCAGTGGGCGCTACTAAAACATGAGGTCAATGTCAAAATCAAAAATTCCAAAATTTTGCCGGATAGCCCTAAAAGCTATGGCCTGTTTCATCAAAAATAATCAAAAAAAATCATGTAGAATATTTGAACAAATAGAAAACCTCAAGTTATGGAGCCGTCTCACGTTTTTTTACTCTCAATGTGCAGGGTTGCCAGATGACTAGGCCGAAATTCCCCAATCAAAACTTCAAAAATCCCCAATATAAGCAGGTTTGGAAAAAATCCCCAGAAACTTTTTTGAATTTCGATTATTAATTTTATTCCAAATTCCAAATATTTTTGTAATTGAAATATTGAAAATATTGTCTCCGTTTTTTGGAATTCCTTTAAAATAAGCTGACTATCAAAAAATCTTTAAAATCTAGAAATAATACGGATATTGACTTCGTTTCTCATTGGGTAGGAATAGGAATTCATTTATGAAATGTTTGTTGCCGAAGTCGGGTACCCCTAGCGGAAAGGGCTAGTGTAAGTTGAAAAATTACTCTAGACCAATAAGAATGCGCGGTATCAGCCTCATTTTAACTCAAGGTGGTAGTTGATTGATCCAAATTAAATTGGACCGTGTATGTATTAGTATTTCAATAGTATTTCAATATAGTATTTCAACAATACTTAAAATTATTTGGACCAATGTGACGTAAGTTTCAAAAATTGTTTGAGTAAAACAAAGGTGAAAAATATATGTTATTCTACTAAACATACATCACACAATATTACCTTTTTCAAAAAATACAAATAAACAAATTATAAACAGAATTAACTTGTATGTTTTGTTGTATATATCCCTATTATAAACAATAATGTTTCTTGGGGTAATAAAGACAATCAACCCCCTAGAATTATGTTTAACAATTTGCTTGAAATACATCACGTCGACGCTACACCGCGGGAAAACGCGAATGTACCTCTACTTTACCTGATTGGGTTGTTTTTACTCTACACTACTAGATCTGTTGTACGGCGACAATAGATGGCGCCGCTTAAGGACAACAGAATAAATATTATTCTAGAAGCTATATTTTCTGCTAGAATACAGATTACAAATTCCTTGGCGAGGTAAATTCATATTAAAAAAATTTCCCCTCAAATTTCCCCAATGGAAATTTTTCCCCAGAAAAAGAAATCCCCCAAAAAATACCCAGAGCAAAAAAAATCCCATATATTAGGGACATATTTTCTCCCTAGGGGTAAAATGAGTTTATAGAAAATAGCATATTTTATATTTTTTGAAAAAAAAAATCCAAGAAAGATGTATTTGCTCTCTCAACTTTACATTTAGTTTGATGTATTTTATTTTCATCCAGATACATGAAAGCTAAAGATACTCTAAACCCTGACAAACAAAGAAATATGTACGTGACACCTGCTCAAGATAAAACACTTTGGTCGGGCTTGATTGCCCATTTGAAGAAAAACGATCTGCTGCCGGTAGTAGCTTTCACGTTTTCGAGGCAAAAATGCGACAATAATGCCACGAATCTGACGAATTTGGATTTGACGACTCAGAAGGAAAAAACGCACATTGCCATGTTCTTCAATAAATGCATTAGATTCCTCAAAGAACCAGATCAGAATATACCACAAGTGCTGAAGATGAGGGATATTCTTAGTAGGGGAATAGGGGTCCATCACAGTGGAATATTGCCTATCATCAAAGAAATCGTGGAAATGTTGTTTCAGCGAGGTCATATCAAGGTAACAATAACAATTGGGAAACTTCTATTTTTCTAGGAGCGTGCGCAAAGAAGTACTTTTCTGCATGAAAAGCTAATAGGTTGCGTGCACGATGACCGACCCTGGAGGCAAAATATTGAAACACAACCTCATTCTTCTGTAAATTATTGAAACACAACCTCACTTTTTTATTTGGTTACAGAGGAATCAAAGGATTGAAATAGTTTTCCACAATATTTTGGCATACAAAACGTGTTTTTTGCGCTATTCATTAATTCGAGCATGCCTTCGCATTGTGCTGTTGTACAATGCACAGAAAATGCAGCAAGAGACTAAAGAATATGATTTTTCAGGTAAATAGTAATCTCACATAGTTATCATTATGAAATGTTGTCATTCCTTATTAAAATTCCTTCTGCCTTCTGTCACATCTGCAATACAAGCTAATACTGCTAATGGATTGAAAATGTCTACAACACACACGATCGTCAGCATGTCAGACCAGTCCTCCCGATTGATTGCATGAATCCAATTTTCTGGCATTATTTTAGAAATTTCAGATGTTTTTCTATTAGCTTTTATCGCAGAAAGAATCCCGATGAGAAATCAGAGAAATTACCAAATTTCAAAAATGAAAACTATATATATATATGTGAGTGACTATAGTAGGTACTTACTTCTAAATCATATTGTACCAACCGGATTACTTCGTCTTCCGCTGCAGTTTTTGTGCATTTCACAACAGCATAATGTGATGGCATAAGCGAATTGATGAATAGCGGAAAACGATTCGTATGCCAAAATAATTGTGAAAAACTATATTTCAATCACTTGTAAACAAATAAGTAAAGTGACGTTGTGTTTCAATATTTTGCCTCCAGTGTCGGTTATCTGACAGTTCTTGCACGCAACCCATAAAAAATCTCGTCGGTAGGGAAAATGTATGTTAAGAAACACTTTTCAACCATTTCAAAATGACAAGGTTCGGGCATTCATAACAATATGTGGGCTGACACGTTTCCTATGTTTCCATGAAGCTTTTTAAGCCAGTTCAACACTATGTTTTTTGACGGTTGTTGACAAAAAGTTTTTTGCTACTCTGCGCGAAATACTTTGGTGACCTACACTATTTTTTTAACAAGGCGCAGCCTCGTTTTTTTTTTTCGTTTATGCTCGTTTATTCTCGTTCTTGCTCGGGGAACGTTTTCCAAAAATACTTTCTCGAGAATTTTACATCACTAGTAGCTGAGGATTCCTTGTTTCTTAGCAAATTTTTCAGAAATTGCACACACTGCAGAGTGTTGAGATGGGGTCCAATTTTTATGAGGTACCAATTGCAGATCTCATTTTTCGTAGTTCTTCATCTCTAGGAAATTCGAAAACCGGAACATACTTCTTCACCGAAGCGTATAATTCGACTCACACTCTGTCAAACAATTATTCGACATCTTATTTGAAGAAACGTTGAAATTACTTTGCTTCCATAAAAAAGACAACATGAAACATAACCTCAATTCAAATATTATTTTACAACAACCATTCACTCAAAACTCGATCACTAGAATATTCCACACACTTTTCACTGGCTTTCAACAATATTTAACATCGATAACACATCAACTGACTCTTGAAAACCGGACAAATTCACTCTGTTGCATCCACAATCTATATTTCGTATATGTGAGAATGGCCGGAGGAAGACCTTTTGAACAGTGTTGCCAGGCCTTCACAGCGGCTTTCCACTTTAAAGCTGGCTATGATAGTATGAATAACCAAGGCTTTCACTCATTTCTTTCGATGTTTTCTATTATTATGATTTCAACCAGTGGTTCCCACAGATCAATGATATCAATTTGTAGTTACTCTTCGCAACTGAGACTTTCGCGATGGGCGTGAACATGCCGGCTAGGACGGTCGTATTCGATTCGGTGAGAAAACACGATGGGAAAGAGATGCGAGATTTGGAACCGGCGGAATATATCCAGATGGCGGGACGTGCAGGCAGAAGAGGACTGGATACCGAAGGGACGGTCATCCTGCTCTGTAAAGTGGGCGTGCCCAATGAGGATAACCTCAAAAAAATGATGTTGGGCAAGCCGAGTTCGTTGGTTAGCCAGTTCAGGCTTACATACGGAATGGTTAGTATGCCATAGAGTTCCTAAATGTACTTGACACTGCTGTTTTCACGTTTTTTTCTTTATATTAGAGTATGGACACTATGACAAGCACTGACATCAGACATAACCACAAATAAATTGATGAAAAAAGCGGGAACTGACAGTACACGGACGGACGTACATGGCAAAAATTGCAAAGGTTTGACAACTTGAGAGAATTAGGCGAAAGATGCAAGTTTGTGCAGTTTCAAACTGTGAGAACACGGGAAATCAATTCACTCTATTCGAATTTCCATCGGATAACGTAATTCTACAAAAATGGAAACAGAATATGATGCGGCCGGCATGGAATATAGATACAGGCCAAAACATTTGCGAGGTATTCAAATTTCTTGGTAGGATATAGAACATTTTTCAAAGCATTTTTATCAGGTACACTTCAGAACGGAAGATTTGATATTGAAGAATAGGATCGTATTGAAAGAGAAGAACCCACTATTTATAAACTGAGCGAGTATCGAAAAGAACCTTATTCCAATTTGGAACCAACAAGAAAAAGACAATCCCCTTTAGCAATGTGAACGAAGATCTATAGTCAGTCGAGCGCTGAAGTCCATTTATACCTACTTATATACCTACATATAAGAGACTTAAAGTCAGAGAAAGATATATGGATGTACTCTTCCCAGGACTTGTGGAGGATGGAAGATGCGAGGATCCTTTATCTAAACGAAAAACATATTCTTGTCATTGTCTGGCAAAACAAATGATTTGCTTCAAAATCGTTTGTGGTTATGTTTGATTGTCACTGCTTGTCTAGTGTCCGTACTCTAATATACAAAAAACGTCAAAACTGCAGTGTCAAGTACATTTAGGAACTCTAGTATGCCATATGAAAATATATCGTTGTTGAATGAGTTTTTCTCTGTTTTCCCAGAGTTTTAGGAAGTTACAATGATAACTCTATTTGATGTTCATTTTGTTGTCATTAATAAATGTACTGAAATGAAACTTTTAATAATTTGCTAAACATTTTTTTTTGTCTTATTCAAGAGACTTGCCGAGGTTTGGTATTGAAATTTTTCTCAAAAACAGAGCGAGATACTTTTTTGAAAAAACTCATCACTCTGGTTCTCGGAAACCAAGCAATTTCGGACCCATACTCATACAAGGTGTTTCACGATGGATGGAACATTAGACGTACATACATGGAAAATTTGTGGGCGTGAATAATCAAGCATGCTATATTCGTCTAAAATAATTGCCACAATGCGGTGTTGCCACTTTTATTAGCAAGTAGTAGCAACTTTGTTTTTTTCAAACGGAACACCCTGTATTTCATTGCATTTTTAGGTTCTCCCAATTTACTAACTACTGACATTCAATTGAAACAGATATACAAGGTGATCAGAATTCTGAATCTCGAAATAATGAAAATAATGAATAGATTAGACAAAAAAAATCCTTAAGTTGAAAAATATTGATTTTGAACTCTGCTCTATTTATATCTCTGAGACCATCCCTGCTGGTCCCCAAGCGTGATACATTAATGAACTCAGCTTTCTAGGAAGAATCTAAAAATGCAATGAAATACATGGTGTTCCATTGGAAATATCAAAGTTGCTTGATTATCCACGTTCATTTTTCGATATGATCTGTCCTTCGGTTCTCCAGATACGTCTATTGTTCCATCCACCGTGAAACATCTTCTATAAACTCTCTTACGCATTTTACTGAGTGGAATCTTCCATAGGCTTTCGTTACTGAAACTCTGAAATACTCTGTATATCCTGATTTCATTTCAGGTTCTCAGTTTATTGAAAGTAGAGAGTTTGAGCGTTGAGGGTATGATGTCGAGAAGCTTCAGGGAAGCAGAAAACCAAAAAAACATGGTCGACATAAAAATAGAACTGGAACTGGTGGAAGAACAGTTGGAAGAATTGTGCAGACAACAACTTAGCAACTATCTTCAACCACTAGTGAAATTCTATGATAGCGCTAGCGCATATCTGAATACGAGACAAGATATTATGGTGAGCAGCAACTGAATGTGTTTTTTTTTGTCATCAAACAAATTGGTATATTACATAACTAGTGTGGGAAGTGTTATATTTTGCGTGAGTGGACGTTTACGGAAACGAAAAGAGCGCAGGAAATGCACTTTCCAACGAGTTTTGTACACTATTTTTCCTACGACCTCAAATATTCAAATTATGTGCATCATTAGTGCTTATGAGGCCTGAGTAGGTATCATGTTTTTAATCACATTCGATCACATGAAGATGATATCATTATGATTATTATGATTCAATGTCAACTGAACATCATTGACTCAGCATTAACGTAACATCATTAACTTAACATATACTCAACATTAACTAAAACAATTTTTTTCTTATCCATCATTCGGTTGTCTCCTTACGAGCAACCCTCAAAAGTCTTCAAGATACTTGTGCGAGCAAGGAATGACGGGGGTATTACCTTTTAACATGTAATCCCAAACACTTTCGTAGGCCATCAGAAAAATTTCTGTGGTCATGGTGGGAATTGAACCCACCTACCGGCAATCCAACGTTTATAGAAACTAAAACTTCTACCACAAGGCTACGCTGGCCACTCAACACTTACACACACTTAACAAAGTATTATTCAATTAACATCAATTAACATGAAATTAGCATCAACTTCACAATTATCTATCATTAACTCAACATTAAATCAACATTAATTGGACAATAGGTTAGTCTTAGTAGTAATAAGTATCAAAATATGATAATTCAGTATTATAATCATCCATACATTAGGATAGACCAAACGAAGATCACGTGAGCGTGCAGGAGTAGTAAAAACACACTGTACACATTGAAAAGAAGTGAATAATGATAAGTTTTATAGTAGGAATAAATTCATTATAATACCTTGAATCTGAACTTTTCTGCATCAATTCCCAGTCAAATTGTCAAGTTATACCGGGTGTCCACGAGTGTGAAAAAGCAGTATAGCTTCATTGCAATGAAAGATATAATGAAAAATCTCTCATTTTTAAACCTTTCAAGTTCTTACCATTGATTTAAGTATTTTCTTACATAAATAAGGAAAACAGGACACATAGAGAAGACACTGTGTCAGTGAACTAGCGCCATTGAACAGGAAGACAATTTTTTTAGGTCAATGAACAGACAATATTTCACCTGTCACCTGCTAACTGAGTTTTCATTTAGAACAAAAATGCCTAATGATACAAAAACGTCAAACCCTTACAGCTACTCTTGTTCGAAATCGCGTTTCCTTGTTGCAGAACAGTATCATAATGTCGCCAAAACTGCAAAAAACCCTCACCCCCGGAAGAATCATAGTGGTCACTCACAACACCCACATAAACAAACTAGCACTGATTCTCTCCTGCATCCGCTCCAAAAAACCGTCCTACAAAGCCCTAGTGCTCAGCGACAAGTCGACAGAAAACACAAGCGCCCCCAAAGACGACTTGTGGTACCACATGCTGGGCTTGGCGCAAGAGAAACTCTTCAGCCCGGTGGGAACTGCAGCCCACGAAATTATTCACGTGCTCGCTACGGATATCTGCGAGATATCGGGCAAGAGTTTGAAGGTGAACGCCGAGCTGGTCGTCAGAGACGTGGAAAAGAGGCAGATGGAACGATTCAGGGCTGACCCGCCCGGCCAGTCTTGTCTAGAAGCCGTGCAAGAGCTGCACAAGCTGACCATGCTGGCCAACAGCAACAGTTCTGGCAACAAGTTGGAGTATCTCCATTTTATCACTGACTTGAAGGTATGTTACAATTTCCTACAAGTTCAACTGACAACTGTGAAAGAATGTACGTTTGTCATTTTGTCTGACTAGAATGGGGAAGTGTCCTATATTGAGGTTTTTATCTCACTGTGAAGTTCGTAAGAACATGATTTATACGTATTTCTTATTTTTTTCGTAAGATCAAATTTCACTTCAGAAACAAATAAATATAAGAGGAACTTGGCTCCTCCACCATTCCTACGTATTTTCTGAAAATCCACATTCACACAGAGTTAAAATACGGTTCTCTGTGCCAGTACGACGTTGCCGACATCATCAATATGTCTAGATTTCCGGAAATTGTTCTTTAAATACATATTAACTATATCATAACAGCAATGGAATATAATAGGTTCTTCAATCCTACTTTGCCAAGTATTATAAATAATTCTTATAAATCTCTCATTGGCTGTATGAAGTTGATTACTAATAAAGATTAATTATGATATTTTGCGATAGTATCTATAATTTTTCACTATCGTTCTAGTTTCTATTATTCAATGTTTTGTGTTCTATTTAACCTGTCTCCGTTAGTGAATTTGAGGTTATTGAAGAGTGTTGGCGGCTCTTATTCGATTTTTTCTTATCTGGGTGGTTAATTGTAGTTATAATGACATTTATATCGTGTTTCATGTTAAGTTTATATAGTTCTTATTCGATTCGACATACATTAACTGATTTGTGTACTGGGTAGTGTTTCATCCGGGAAAATAGTACCTCGATCATGAATAGTTGATACGATACATGAAATATTTTGAAAAAACACGGTGATTTGTTTGGTTTTCCACTATCATAATCTCATAAATCTGGATTATCTACTGTTTTTGTGCTTATTCAATCCTTCTAAATTGTCTAAAAATGTATACGTCCGTCAAAATCTATCATCTACCTGGTTGATAATATAGCTATTAGAACTATCACACGATCTGATTCATTGCCTTTTGTTTTATAACAGGTCAATGATCAACAATTTTACCATATTTTGAAACACATGTACGACTTGAAAGACAAACTTGTGGACCACTTGCCTAGTACTCGTATACCAAACTTTGAAGATCAATTTTCTTCGGTATTTACAAGGAAATTTTTGGGAGAGAAAAAGAAGGATCTTGAATTCAAGTTGTCTAATGCAAGCTTATCTTTATATCCAGATTATGAAAATAGGATCGACTTGCTCAGAAGGCTAAATTATGTTGACAATCAGAATATAAGTGAGTATAATAATGGTATATTTTTTTATTTTGAGTGAAACTAGTGAAAGTGACGCTTTCTGTAGCTTACTTGTAGGCGAAACTTCAAACATCCAGTATTGAAACACAAATTGTCAATATTCCTGGACATTTTGGAAAAATTGCTGATCATAATACTTTTTTCAGTTCAATTGAAAGGCCGTGTAGCATGTGCAATGGGAATGAATGAACTTCTCATAACAGAACTGGTTTTGAGAAATATTCTTACAAAGCTGAAACCTGCTGAAGTAGCTGCTCTTTTATCCGCTCTAGTATTCAGAGCCAAATTAAAATCAGAAACTTTTGACGATGAAAGTCTTCCAACAGATTTGAAAAATGTAAGCAAATGCTAAACTCGATGTTTCAACTCTATAATAATAGGAATTCGATTTGTTTCTATAAATCGCCTTCCGTTAACAAATTCTAATCATATGACATCACTAGGAAAAACAGAAGACGATCGAAAAAATACCGAATTTTGTTTACTTGTTCCCCATTTTTCTTTTTTCTCACTTTTTTTCTTACCTTTCTCTTCTTATTTACCATCATTTTAATATTCTTCGCTTATCGAGATGTTTTTCTATTTTTTTTTTTTCAAGGAACCCCTTTAAAAATATTCATGCTTAAAACAATTCTCATTTTCCTACCTACATGAAAATTTTTGCGTGACATTGCTCTTTGTTTCCAAAGCCTACTGGTTTAAATTGTGATGATAAAAATTTGTTTCACCAATTTTCTCAGCAGTTTTTATTCTCTACAAAATTTGTTCAGAAAAATTAACTCTCACCTTTTCGTATAATAGAGCAGATACATTGAGTTTTGTTCAGCCTGTTCTACACAATTCCGTTCTAGACGTTCCTAACATGTCATTGGTTCATTTAAGGGAATAAAAGAAATTAAAGGAGTCCACAATGAAATAGCTAAACTGGAGCTAAGTTTGGGGATACAGACGGATGAATTCCAAGAAGACCTCAACTTTGGACTGGTACACGTTGTTTATGAATGGGCCACAAATCAGGTAAAAAATATCATCAAACCCAAGATACAAAACAGTGGCGCAGGTACCATACCGCAAAACCCCAAGAACGCAGGGGACCGAACCATAATATCAGATGAATATTTTAAACAATTTCATATTCAGAGGAAACAAATATTGAGAAAAAAGTGAAATATAACAAGGGCATATGAATTAGAAATTGAATGTTATAAAACATATATTACTGAAACTGATAGAACTAATTTTTAGTTTGTTTTTCTATTATGTTTCAATGTGAGTTATAAAGGGTGTCCCAGAGGTCAAAATAGGCCGATTGGAATCAATTTACCTTCAAACATCGTTGAGATTATCTCCAATATTTCAAAATTCTTGAAAGATACTACTCTGAAGTTTGCAGGACGATTTATTATAATGAATGTGCATGGAAGATATGTCATACCAATTTAATCAATATACAGGAGATAGGCTTCATCTTTGAAGATAATCAATATAACTTTTTTTGAGTACGCCACCGACCACATTCCAATACAATAGGAATTAATTAGGTATTTACGGAAGCGTATTAGGGCCACCATCAAAATTTTTTTATCTTGAAATTTCAACTTAGTCATGTTGAAATTTCAAGATAGTAAGTCGAAATTTCGGCTTAGCTTTGTCGAAATTTCAACTTACTATCTTGAAATTTCATCATAGCTAAGTTGAAATTTCAACATAGCTAAGTCGAGATATCAACATAATTATGTCGAAATTCCGACATAACTTCGATACCTATTTGAAACGTATAACTGATGAGATTAGTACGACGGTTGTACATGCTCTAAACAAACGATCGACACGAGTTATGTTTAGCAAATATGTATGATTAAATCAAATTATACTTTCTACTCGGATTCAGCCAGAGTGAAATTTTCCTTTTTCCTTCTGAGAGACATAAAATCCATACAAACAGGAGAACATTGAGAAGGGCCTCAGAAAAATGGAGTTGTACAGGAGAATAGTTATTTATACACCAAGGTAGTAAAGCATATCATTATTACCTAGGGACCAAGATTATATCCCGAGGCTGAGCCGAGGGTTATAAGGTTCCGTGGTAATAATATTCTTCACTATACCAAGGTGTATATCAAATTTTTTCATCACTAGTAATACATTAAACCTATTGTCACTATGAAAGCACTTCTCTTCAATTCCAATTAAATAAATCTAGTAGCCATAACCATGACAGCATATGACAATGATAAATACCTACTAGATTCGAGGGCCATTATTGAGAACCTCGCATCAGAACAGTGAATTCGGGTTAATTATATAACAAAGGTGGCTATGTCATTATTGACCAGTAATTAATAAAATAACGAAATCTACTATTTTATTAGGAAAAACACAATTCACGCCTCGAAAAGGAGTAAATAATGGTAGGTTTTATGATTTTATAGCTAGTGATGGTGGAAAAAAATATACACAACTTGAACAACTCTTGGATTTTTTGACCGATGAAATCGGAAAGTATGGACAACTACATGGTAACAAGTGGATGCATTCGAAATGGATTATCGGTCACTCAAGAAACTGTTCGGTTAGCTCTTAATTTCCTAGTCCCACGTCTATCGAATTAGAATGTTGAAATTTCAACTTAATATCTTGAAATTTCAACTTAGCTATGTTGAAATTTCAAGCTAGTAAGTTGAAATTTCAACTTAGCTAAGTGGAAATTTCAACATAGGTAAGTTGAAATTTCAAGATATATATGTCGAAATTTCGACTTAGTATGTTGAAATTTCGACTTAGCTATGTTGAAATTTCAAGATAAAAAATTTTTCATGGTGGCCCCAATACGCTTCCGTAGGTATCTAACTTTTCCTGATTGCAGTTTTTTCAAATTTCATTTATTTTCGAGATATCTAATGAAATGAATAGTTATTTATTATACAAGGAAAAAAAATTGTAGATTTTAGCTCCAGGTTGTGTTGTCTCCCGATGCGTAGCGGAGGGAGACAAAAAACCGTGAGCTAAAATCTAATATTTTTCCCGTGTATAATATGTGTGTAATACACTATTTTTTTCTGTGACAGAAGAAAGGACGAATCAATATTGAGAAGATATTACATTATTTTGAAATCTGAAAATTATCGACGTGAAATTTCAAGTTTTTAACAGTAGGGACACCTACGTTGTAGGCATCTTTATCATTCTTTTGAAGTAATCAAATATCTGATGTCACTTCTGTCAGTCTAATTTTGTGATTTGATATCAGAAAGTTGCGAATTTAGTGGTTGTTTAGTAATAAACGTAACCGCGAAGTCGAATGGAAGATAAAAGGACTTGCAGTTGTTTCTCGGAGACGGTATTATTGACTCATTTTTCGGAACTATATCACAACAAAAGCCATCAAGAGTAATTTATGAAAAGTAACATTTTATAACCTGCCAACAGAGATGAACTGCCAAACTTTTTTCCCGTCACAGAAAAAACTCCATTATCGCCATGGGGTGCTAAAGTGTTACTTTACGCCCAGTCGTGCATAAAAATAATTATGGCTTAGAACAAGGTATGAAGTTATGCCACTGGTACACACAAAGAAAACTATTTTTCAGCCATTTGCGGAAATTATGGAACTCACTGACATACAAGAGGGTATTATAGTGAGATGCATTCAACAACTCAACGAAACAATCTGTGATGTACGCGATGCCGCCAAAATCATTGGCGATCCAGAGCTGAAAAACAAAATGGAAGAAGCCTCCACAGCTATCAAACGTGATATAGTCTTTGCTGCCAGCTTGTACACACAGGGCGAGGCAATAATATAATTAAGATACTAATTTGTATTCAATGTTATATTAATACCAGAAGTAAAACTTACAATCATGTCACTTAGTTTTGTTGATCTATCAGCCACAGTATGTTTATACCAGCTCTTCCTAAATTCACCCTCCCTAGCATCCCGTGTTCTATTTTATTCACGTGATAAATGAAGAATAAAATACTGTGGAATAGATTGTTGTAGCCCTAAAAAATATTTGCCGTTTTCTCCTTTGTTTTTTAACTATATTTCGGAAATTTGGAACATCGAATATGCTAACTAGAGGTTACTTTTTCAGATTTTCGGTAATTTTTTTCAACTTCCGGTTTTCCTGGAAATGGTAACAACTTCCGGTTTTCCTGGAAATGGTAACAACTTTCGATTTTCAAATGGAACTCCCTGTATTTCATTCATTCATTATTATAATGAATTCAACAATACCGGGTTGCGATTTTACTAAATATAAACTATTGCAGCACAAGACACGCCCCCTACTACGGCATTGCAAAATATAATCGAGCCCAGCACAATCCTGCAAAATCTAATCTTTGACAGCACAACGTAGCTGATTCATATAAATAAATCGATTGAAAAAGTAGCACATACCACGTTATATCTCATCTTCAAAGTACTTTACTTAGGCAAAACTCAGAGACTATTTATCCTCAACGAACTAACCTATCCCTGATTGCAATATTTTCGAGGAAGGAACACCGAATGGAGTGTAGAAACACATTGATTAATAATATATTTCAAAAGTTGAGTTCTTCAACAAAATTGAATAAAATGAGACTGTTTATCCTAAACGCACTAACCTATTTGACTTCAAATAGTTAATGAAAAAGGAAAACCAGAATGAAGTAAAAAAACATTGGTGAAAAAAAAAAGTTGCAAAAAAAAGTTCGAGTTCACAGCGATTCGAACCATGAACCTTCAGACTGAGAGTCGACAGCGCTAACCAGTAGACCATTTGGGTGTATGAATTTACTGCGTACAAGAGATTGACAACGAGGAAGCTTCAGTTCTTGCGTTGGAGCACAGTATGAGATATGACGTATTATGGTGGGCGTGGTTTGTGCTAGCGTGCAGTATATTCAGTAAAATCGCTACCGGGTTTGATTGGGTTATTTCTAACGATTACGAAGATATCCAAGTTCGAAATGTCCATAAGCTCAATGGGTGTGACGGCGCAATATCGAAACTTATTTCTCTGTCACACTCATTGAGCTTATGGAAACTTCGAACGCGATTATCTTCGTAATCGTTTGACACAACCCAATCAAACCCGGTATTGTTGAATTCGCTATATTAATCTTTAACCGATTATGGAATAAAATATAGGGTGTTTCATTTGAAAATCGAAAGTAGATGTTATTTCCAGGAAAACCGGGAGATTAAAAAAATCCTAAGATGTGTGAAAGTGCCCTCTAGTGAGCATATTCGATGTTCCAAATTTCAGAAAGGTCGCTAGAAAAACAAAGGAGTCAATGTCACCCGGTATGTACAGAGAAGTGCACAAAAACCGGCCAGTGCTGTATCTTCTGAATCATTAGAGATCGGATCTCGAAAATTGGTACAATCATCTCTCAGCACTGGCCGTTTTTTGTGCACTTTTCTGTATATTTTTTCATTTCACTCGGCGGTTGAAATTTACACAAAATTTTCAATATCATGATGTCTTTTCAGCAGAGAAGCTTCTTCAAGTAGGATAATCCTGAATAATCATACAATAAACAAACCTTAACCTTTGAGTCTCTGCCTTTGAGTAATCAACTATTTATCAAGGACTAAACTTTCGATGATAATTCACGTCATCACATTTTTTTCAACATTACAGACATTTCATGGAAATTGAAAAAATATCAAGAACAAAAGTTTGAAATAAAACATTCATATTATTGATTTGAAAAAATGTAACTTTTGACATGTAGCAAGTCACGTGACCCCATTTCTTCATATTTTTGAAAGCAGAACTTGACGCCCAAGTCGAATTTGGAAATTAATTATTATTAACAGTTTTCCCATATGATGCCAACTTTATTGAAGACACTATAGAATTCCAATGGTTCCAAATGATGGGATTTATTACTTGATTTTAGGAATTTAAAATTTCAAGATTGTCATCAAAACTATGATCAACTTCTAAAATATGAATAACATAATTATGTTGAATTTGTTCAAATAAAGAAAACTAATTTTATGTTCCTGAATGCGGCGGTTAAACTTTTCACCTGTCTGGCCAATATATACCTTTGGACAAGATGCATAGTTGGTTTCTCTATTCCTGATTTTTCTAATTTAGGCGTTTTGTCTTCATTATTTTTTATTATGCTTGCCATTATGTTTCTGTTGCCATAGTGAATTTTATATTAGAATGAATGGAATTGATATATTAATGAAAAGTGTGTAATTGTCTATAAGTTCCTCTTAAGCATACTATTATGTCATTTATACCTACACTAAAATTGTTTTTGAGTTGATATTTATCTATTTATTGCTCCAAGTTATCTATGGAAATTTCAGCAAAGTATTTCACTTGAAGAAGCCACTATGTTAACAAGGAATTTTGGAAATCTTATCCTGTATAAAGTTTTATATATTTGCTGTCACCAAAGATACTCCACTAAGCAATAACTTACCTTGACCATTTCACAGATTTTTTCTCCGACTATAACACGATAGTGGGGCGGTTTTTCAGATACTTGTTGTATAAAAACACAGCCGGGCTTCAGAATCGGCATTTTGTCTGTTACTTTGATATAATGATGACCGCTAAATGCTTTGGTGTCTGGCATATTCGGCAGTGGCATGAGTTGGGTGTCCAAATAAGCAGCTAACAGATGCATCACAATCTACAAAAATCATAACCAAATGATCACAATGCGTGATTTAGTTTAAATTGGTTCAAGGGTCATAAAAACCACTTTAAAAGTCGCATATTCAAAAAATCTAATCAAAATTCGAAATGGACTGAGTCTTCATAGTGCAGCAAAGAATTGTGTATGTTTTATTGTATTTCATATATCCAAATATTTGTACTGACTTGAATTGTCAGATAGCAAATAACTGCTCTGTGTATTAAATAAACTTGAACTTGAACTAATGAATCATTTGAAATTTTGAAAGAACTAGTTTTTTTAAATAAAGCTTGTTCTTTCAATTCAACCAGAAATAGTTTTACATGGAATTTCCAGGAGATGTCTTGATTATTTTTGAAAATACAAATTTTTCACAATGATAAAAATATGATAAACATCCTGCCAAATGGATAATGGTCAATGCAAATATATTGTTTTACATATTATGGAAGATAATTGGGATAAGAATGATGCATAACTTTTAGAAAAATGTTGAAAAAATAGTTAATTTATTGTTTCTTAAGAAGCAACGGTATTTCTCCACCAAATATCATGACTTTAAAACAAAGATACAAAAAACAAACGGTAAATGCGAGGGGTAAATCACGTGGGAGGTTTGGTATATAGACACAAGGAAGTTCGAGGAAGTTTGGGGGAAGTTCCAAGAAGTTCGAGGAAGTTTGGGATAGTTTGAGGAAGTTGAGGGAAGTTTGAGGAAACTTGAGGAAGTTTGAGGAAGTTCTAGGAAGTTCAAGGAAGTTTGGACCTATGGGAAGTTTGGTGTACAATTTTTTTCGCCGTGATTTACCCCTCGGGTGAATGTTTTGATTTGAAGTGGAAATGTTCAGCTTAAAAACAAATTTAATTTTGGGTGTTCTTCAAGGAACTGTTCTAGACTCCTTCCTTTTCCCATCATTTATATTAACTTTTGGTCTTTTGACTCATCCAGTATAAAATTTAATGAAACAAAATTTATCACTTTTTCATATTATGAAGACTCACAACCAAAATGATATATATACTGATAAAACACATAATAATATTGTTGACTTCAGAATTAATATTTGAAAAATGGCTCCAATCTAACCTTTTATCGATAAATACTAACAAAACAGAATATATGATTTTTCACCAAAAAAAATAAACAAAAAATTTACCTCAACCTTAAAATGAAAAATGAACTCTTGAAACAAACTGACCAGATAAAATATCTTGGAATTTGGTTTGATGACAAGTTGAAGTGGGACAAACATATTGATGTTCTGACAAAAAAAATATCTCCAATTATTGGTGCATTGAGAAGATGTCCCAAACTTGATATTAAAATTGCAAACATGATTCTCTACTCTCATATACTGAGTCGTATCAACTATTTAATAAATGTTTGGGGATCTTGTTCAAAAAATAATTTCAATAAAATATCAACATTATATAGAAAATCTAAAAGTATTGTATCGTCTCCCATTTGATACACCAACCAATCAATTGTATGAAATAACAAATACGTATTCTTTAGATGAAATATATAGAATTGAAACTCTTAAAATATCATATAATATCATGAATGAAAATTGAAGTCGAATATTATTTTGATACGGAATTCTGAAATTCATAATCATGAAACTAGACAATATAACTTGTTTCATCTTGACGCCGCTAGCTCCCTAATCGGACAAAAAAGATTCACTCATTCAGCCTTAACTGAATTCAATAAACTACCTGATAATATAAAAAATTGCAGAAATATAGGTATATTCAAAAATGAAGTAAAAAAACTGATTATTTCTAAGCGGACTGGATAAAATTAATCACGCCATTTTTTTTTTACAAATATTATTCTTTGTTTGCCAATTTACAGTTGTTAATATATTTTGAATGATGCTATGTTTACCTATAGGTATATAATTATGTACTTCCTTATACCAGAGCCTATTCTGTCTGGAAGTTATTTGTTCAATGAATAAATAAATAAATAAATAAATAAATTATAAAATATCCAAGAAGCTCAGATATACTCTCCTGAAATTCAGACGGTTTTTATTTTTATGTATATGTGTTCATTATGTATAAATTAACTATCCCAGGTATTTTTTATACATGTTAAAAAAAGACTCATAAGGACAATGAAAATAAAGTAATCTACAAAATTCATGAAGCACAAGTTTCTATAAGAGCTGGACCATATCTTTTCATTTCATTGTATGGGAAATATTTTGTCATCTCCTCCCACTTTATGGAAGAGTTTGCACTACCACAAAAATAAAATTCCAAAAACATTTACTAACTGCACAATCTGTGGGCAAAGAATCATCCCATTCTTTTCCATTGTAGCTGCTGCCTCCATTCCACTTGAATTCGCTCATACAACCACCCTTGGCCAATTCTCTGATACGTTTTTCGAGATACTCTTGGTTAGCAGTCACTTCTAAGAAGGGTATCAACGTCGGCAAAGACGGAATGTACTGGGAGACGACGGCCATCTGAGCTGTTTTGCGAAGCCGGTCCAAACCCACATTGCCGATTTTGATGTCTGACAGACCATGCTGGTCCAAGGCATTATTCACCATTCTGAATTCACTTACCAGTCTTTCAAGAATCGTTTGAGATATCCACTAAAAATATATAACATTCGAAGAATTGCAATCGGGAATGCCAATCACTATCCTGAGCAAAATGATTGGCACTGGCACTTTCCTGTGCGATGATTTGCACATCGGATATTATCTATCAAGGGGCGAAATATTCTCGGAAATATTGATGCTCTGCCGCTAACTTAGATCAGTTTGAATCGCGGCACGTTTGGATATTCGCAAATGGGACATTATCCCCTTTTATTTCAACTCGTTTTATAACATGACGGAAGAATCTCCGGAATAATGGCAGCAAATAAATCGTTGTGTCGTGGATTTGAATCAGATTAATGGGTGGTACAGATAAGTTTTTGAGATCTACGATTCAATGGGCTTATATCACAAAAAAAAATTTATTTCATAATTCGAAAGAACTCACCCAAAATAGCTCACCACCGCAAACCGTTTCTTGCTGTGAGCTCCCTACGTTTTATAAAAAATTATTGAAATCCCCGATTTTTCGGACCTCTGAAAACGAGGCGATGATGTGACGTCAAAACCCTTACACTGAAACAAGACTATTCCAGACATAGATGAATGATACATGATTTCTGACAAAGTGAATTAGCGCGAGATCACAGTTGAAAGAATTAATATATCAGTTGCCTCAGTCTCCGTCGGGCGTTTGGTATTTATTATATCTTTCAACTATGGCGAGATGAGGTTTCTACGTCATAAGAGGGTCCGTTTTCAGAAGGTACTACTATTTATGTCCAAAAATAAAACATTCCAGTTGATTTTTCGATCGAATTATGTCGTCAATCATTATTTAGGTATAAAAGGTTCATTATAAACATGGTTTGAGTTAAAAGTTCTACTAAGGTGTACACGCCCATTATTGATAGCATAAATCTTACCTGGTGATCAAATCGCGGAATTGAGTGCAAATAACCACACAGGAAAGTGCAATTTTCCAATCAATGCTCAAGATAGCGATTGGCATAGGTGCCGTTTGATAAAATACAATGTGATTTGCTGCCTTTGGGACATAAATATAATTTCCTTATCAGATCAATCAATCAATCAATCAACTTCATTATTCCCAGGAACCAACATTTGTTTATAGCAGGGAACATGGTGAATATATAAAAATATTTGACAAAATGAAGAAGACAGTAAAATAAGACTCACTCAAGAAGAATTTTTTTTCTCAAGCTCAACAGAAAATGATTCTTAATTGACTCAGCTGTTAGGTACCCAATTGAAAACTATATTAGTTGTACAGAAAACTATAAAAATGAGATAGGATGTCAATATTACAGGAGTAGATGTTTCTTGAATTCCTTTTCAATCCTATTAATCAGTTTCAAGTTATTTGGTAGTGAATAAATGGTTTTTTTACCAATATCTGATTTAATTTTCTTGACAGAAAAATAATCTGCTTGTATAGTTGTGGTGACTACTATCAATTTGGAACACCAAATTTGAATGCTTTTGACAATATTTAACTGAATGATAATTATTTGAATTTATCTATTGAATCTATATCTCAAAACTCTCTTCTTCTGTAAAAGTTCTTAGTAGGTTCCAAAAAATGTAGTCTGTATATACATTTGATAATTTTATTTTTGCAGCTGACTCTTGGACTAGTGTCATACTTTCCTGATTTTAATATTTTTCAACATCCAGTGAGGCATAATTAGGCCATACTTCTTAATTGTTTTGAACAATGCATTGGTAAATAATTTGAAAAACAGAAACACATTTGAATGGGATGAATAGTAATTATAAATCATGGTACAGAATATATTTTTTTAAGCTGAGCTCTGTATTTGTTGTTTCACCAATAGCACATATTTTTCAAGTATAGAATGTCAGATGGGTGAAATTTCACATGAGATTCTTCAATGATGTCAATTGTTGTTATTGAGTAGTAGGGGTGTAGATGAATGTTTGGTATAGGAGTTTTGAATAGTTTGGACAATGCATTTTATTTGCATTTTATTGGCATTACTCTATCATCAAGTGAATTATTCTAAACTGACCATTCTCAAATTTTCATTCCACTGAGTTAGAGCAACTGTATCTACATTTATTCTTGTCCATACTTCCATGGCCTGAACTTGAGCAGGGCTTGCTGTTTTATCATCACCTTTAATATTTGGGCTACCTGAAGTTGACTTTGCTAAAATGAGAAAAATCATTTATATTAATGATTTATATTCAGATGTATATATTTATATTTGAATGCATATCTAAAATCAAAGTATTTGAATTAAGAAATTGAAAATTTAGTATATTTATATGACATTACTTCAAAAAATTTCTTTCTAAATGATTTTATTAGTAGTACAAGATTGGAAAATAATTTTATTAGTTAATATTTCACATTTATATCATATTATGATATACTTTAATTTATGGGACAATGAATGAAATTAATCTATGATTATTTATGCTTACTTGCTGATTGAGATGAAAGTTGGTATTGGCACTTCTTCAAGAATAAAGATACATCTTTGGCTGTTTTGGTAACTGGATGGCTCCAAAATGAACTCAGTAAATTTGATGACTGGTGTGACTTGTTGGATTGTTTATTCACTTTCTCAATTTCTTCATGTTCTTTCAAATACTTGCTCAGAGAATGTTCATCAGTTATGAACTCCACAGAGGAATTTCTACATAATGGTGTATTCATGGGTGATGACTTGATGTATGTTGATGATCTATTTGAATACTGAGTGTTGTGATCTGGAGTGCCTTTCAAGTATGACCAAGAGGGTGAAGAAAGTGAATAATTCACACCTATGAAAAACAATTACTTCAGTACTTCTAATGAATTGATTAGTGAATCCATCCAACCTATTCAGAAAATGAAAAATCATTAGACAAATTCAAAAAACATTATTGACAAACCTCTAGAACTTGTAGCAAATATTGAAAAAATATATGTGAGTAGGTATTGAGGTAGGTATATAGTCAATAAATGTTTGAATGCTTACTATCCATTGTTGAAACATTTGATCTGAAGCTCAGTGAACTAGTATTCACTGGAGTACTAGAATAACTATTCATAGGTGTACTATTACTGCTTCTTACTGGTGATTTAGATTGATGAATTTTATAATATGGATCTGAAAAAAATCAATTGAGAAACTGAGCAATAAAGCATTTATAAATATTTTTCAACCTGAGTCTTTTATACCCAATAATCTCATTTGTTCTTCTGTAATTGGGATGGGTTCATTCACCAAAACCCCCATTTGTAAAATTTTCATAACATGATAGAAAAGGTTTAGTGTTAATATGACTACAAGGAGATATTCTGCATAAAGAAAATATCCAATATAAAATGGACAGGTATGTGCACTGAAATGAAGACAAAAAATGTTGATGAAGATTAGTACAGTAAAATTATTGTACATACATGTCATACAAAAGAAGGAATAAAATCACCAAATTCACTGTAGCCCAAAAAAATCCCTTTCTGATGGTTTTACGATTATGATTGAGAGCTAAGCTTCGCTCCAAAACTGATGGACATTGAACTAGTGAAAGGCCTGGAAATGACCTGCAATATATATTTTTCAATAAATGCATGATTGGGATTGAAAAGATGAAAAACTTACGTTTGTACGTCCATCATATCATCAAACCAGCAGAATTTTCTAGCTAGGAATTGTTCACAAACAAATATTTTTTTGTCATGTCATAACGATTTTATTTTGAATTAACTCTCATTTTCCTATAGAATATGAATAATAATCTTTATCTAAAAACACATCATTTGAGGAGTCTGGATTTTCCGGAACAAACTTTGAGACTTTTGAGTTGAGAGGTTAGGGTTAGAAATCAGGAAATTTGGACCGTTACAAAAATGACAGTGGAGACACAAAATTCAAACAACTAATGTTGGCAACCTTGCATTATTTCCATATATCATAAGGCCTGTTCGTTTGTATTGCTAAAGTTGATTTTTTTCCCATCGTTCTCTCTGTTCATGGCATGATATGTAGGCATAGAAAGTAATAGAAAAAATCAAGTTTAGCAGGTAGAGCAAACACAAACGAACAGGCCTAAATATTTAAACTGCCTATTTAGCCGTCATTGTTCAGATTCTAGACATTCATGTTCGAGACCACGCAAATCACAAAAGTGTTCATTTATGCCTGTTCGTTTGTATTGCAGAACTACCTGAAGTTTATTTTTACCCATAGTTGTCTTTGTTCATGGCATGTTGTAAACAGAGGAAGTCAAGCACAAACGAACAGCCTTTTCACGAATGATTGGTGTTTTGAGGTTACATCGAATATGAAGGAGAAATAATCAGAAAGTGAGCAATTACATGATCCACAGGATATCAGAACGTACTCGAGCTGAATGGACAGAACAAAATACCAAATATTTATTGTCACTATAGGCCTGTTCGTTTGTGCTTGCTCAACCTGCTAAACTTGATTTTTTTCTATGACTTTCTTTGTTTCCATCATGGCATGAACAGAGACAACTATGGGAAAAAGATCATCTCTAGCCAGTTTAGCAATACAAACGAACTGGGCTTATGTCACTATATAAATCAAATAAGGACCATTACAAAATGAAAAAAAAACTTTGGGCAAAAATTACTGAGGCAATGAATTTGAAGGGACACATATTCACACATATTCAAGTTGAGAACATATGCAACTCCAAAACCACAAGATTTAACGGTTAACGAACGACGAACTCAGTTATTACACTTTCACACTTTACACTCCCTCTACACTGCACTTTTTACACTGTACACCACACTACACTACACTTTCTACATTACACTGCACTTTTAAGCGGCGTTCACAACCAAACTTTTTACGTTTTGCTTTTTACGTTTCGTATTCTGATTGGTGAAGCAGAATCTGAAATTAAACGTGAACTAAACCTATGCAAATGTCATTCACAACAACAAAAAATCAACGTGACTTTTTATGGATCGGTTGCCTTGGTTTTGTTATTTGTTTTTCATCCTGAAATCAAGTGAATAATCATAACAATAATATTGACCAGATAATTAATAATATCCATGGAACTGGCGGTGACGACAATTTATCCTTATTCAATACTTGAAGAGAAAAATCAATCTTCTACAAGAAAATAATGAATTGAACAGTAAACCTATCTACTATTCTGTGGATTCACGAAAGAAACATGAAAACATTATCATAACTTCCATATTGTTACCAGCATGTTCCATATTATTCGTCTATTTTTACTATTTTCACAGACGATGACTTCTTGCAACGCAAAAAGCTGAATATTTTCAGCTTTTTGTTTCATTTCAATTACAAATTTTGCTTCACCAATCAGAATACGAAACGTGAAAAGCAAAACGTAAAAAGTTTGGTTGTGAACGCCGCTTTAGGAGGGTTTAGGTTTACGAACAGACCTATAATCTGTCGTCTACTGTTATTTTTTTTCTGTTATCTGTTAATCCAAAGAATATTAATCTGTTGGTAGTGTTGGTTTTAAATGGTTTGGTTGATTTCTCCTCTCTCTCGTTGAATGGCCGACGACAGGGCCAAAAATTGTCAAGTGGAAACGGATTCGCATGTTTAGAACTATTTTTTTGGCTGGTACACATACGAATTTATATCCTAGGTATGTATTCATTTCAGTAATACATTTTTCTACGCTTATTTCGGACTTCGAGATGATTTTACATGATTATATTCCTAGTATTTCGAAAGCGGCCTCGCGAGTTTTTGTTGGAATTTGGGATGACACCTAAATTTGACAGTAGAAGAAGTGGCTACTGGAAAAAATATTGGTTCTGTTCTCTTTGAGGTTCTTGTATCTTGTATTCTAGGAGAAACTGTTTATTTGCAATCGAAATATCAATAAGTTATCTAACATCAGTATCCTCTTCTTGTGGTTCTCCAACTTCAACTTATGTTGTTTTATCTTGTTGAAATGTATTTTTAGTATCACCGCGTTGGTTGAAATTTAGAAATCGGGGATATCTTGTGATATTGTCATAACGGGGCATATTGAAAAACCGGTATGTACTTTACTGCCATAACAAGAAAGTGTCTTCCACGCAAATGAAATATTTAACTTGATTATATTGCAGAAAATCTTATCATCAACCACACCCTTTCCCAATATTTTCTATCTTTGGAAGAAGAAAAAAACATCAAAGATTCCTGAGATTAGATATTTGATATTTCCTTTTATTCTCAGATTCAATCTTGATTCTATAATACTGATTGTTCCAGAAATGGCTGTTAATGTATATTCAACAAATGTGACCTCAGAGAATCTCTCCAGGCATGATATGCTAGCTTGGGTAAATGAATGCCTTCAAAGTAGTTTTGGAAAGATAGAAGAGTTATGTACTGGTGCTGCATATTGTCAGTTCATGGACATGTTGTTTCCTGGATCTGTTCAACTCAAAAGGGTCAAATTCAGAACAAACCTAGAGCATGAATACATTCAAAACTTCAAATTACTTCAATCAAGTTTCAAAAAGATGACTGTAGATAAGGTTAGTATTTTTGTTTTTGTATCAATGGCCATAATTTGGAAGGTGACAAAATTATTTGGAGAATTTTTATTAAGTGTAATATTTCTTCCCAAAGTTGAGCAAATTCATATCCATTTTTGTTGTACCAATTCTAGATTATTCCTGTAGATAAATTGATAAAAGGCCGTTTTCAAGACAATTTTGAATTCTTGCAATGGTTCAAGAAATTTTTTGATGCCAATTATGATGGTGTTGAGTATGATGCTCTAGAGGCCAGAGGAGGTATCATGCTAGGCTCAGGGGCCAGTCACACTAATGGTCACAACCATGGAAGTGGAGTAATACCACACCAGTCTACTCCAAAACCACACCAGTCTGCCCCAAAACCACAAATACAGAGCAGACAGGGTAACAGTAGTTCATACAAACCTTTTATACAATTTATTTGATCACTTTTCTGAAATTTTAGCACAATAATTAGAAATTCATATGTTTTCTAACTTCAACTAAGTGATCAAATAAGGTGTAGAAGTAATGGTCACATGCTTTGGTTACAATGTTTGCTGTTGTCTTGTATCTGTAGAATAGGTTTTGGGAACACTTATTTTTTATGTATGATATAAAATTGGATGCAATAGACTGTCCTGCTCTGTGGTTTGGAAAATGCAATTTTTTCATTATTGAGCTTCAAGCAAATGCCTTTTGTTCATTTGGAATGGAATTTATTACTCCTTCTATTTCATTTTAATTTATTAATGTTCCTTCTATCTTCCAGGGTATTTATTCCAAGATATTTTCAACCTGTAGTTGAGAACATTCAATAATTAATAATGGGGAGACAACTCTTCACAGAGTACATTTATTTTCATTCAGACTAATGCTAAAAAACTTTTGAATTTCTCAACCCCAGTGCAATAATTCTAATTCATCACCATGTACCATACTTTTTGGTTGTTTATTGGTTATGTTCCTGTCACTCAGAATATAAACACCATAGATAATCTGACCTTATTGCCTATGGACAAACAGGCAGTAATTAAATTTTATGCTGTTTCTCCATTATGAATCAGGTTTTTTTTTTATTATGTTATGCCAATCTAAGACCAATTCAATAACAAAACCAAAAGGTCATAGGACCCACACAACACCTCCATTTGCCTGAATTATAATGTTTTATAAATGGTGAAATCTATCTGTTGGGAAAATTCAACAATGTTATTCAGTTATGAACAAGCCCTCCAAAATTTATAAACCTATATTTGAGTGTTTTGTGAGTGGCAAAGAATCTCAAGAAAATGCACAAGGTTTCATGGAGAATACTGATTTGCAATTTTTGAATTCTTCAATGGAATTTTTGCTGTAGTTTAACAGACATTGGTCTCTTCATTCACATAGTGTCACTGTTGAAGTCTGCATCACATGATTCTTTTCTTTTAACACAAAATTGGAGTTCACAACAGTTGCTCTGAAAGTGGATAGCTCTCAAATTTTGCATCTTAAAAAAAAACAGAAACTCAACTGCTAGAGAAAATTGTCCCTCATTAGATATTTCTAAAATACATGTAAGATGCAAGAGAGCATTTTCCATAATTTCAATAATTTCGAGTAATTACACATTCTCCTATGCTTCTTAAAGTTGCAGGGGCTTTATTTTTTTTATTCCTCGAAATGCTGATTAGAGGTGAGAACCCCCCCCCCCCCTCCTCCCCAATATTTTCTAATGAAGAATCACCAGGGCATAAAGTGTCAAAAGAAGTTGTTCTTAATCAATCAAATAGGTAGTCTCATCTGTTCAAAATGTGAATTCAACCACCATCATATAAAAAATTCAAATGAATCCACCCATTTGTTTTTACATGTGGGAGTCTTGACACTCAGACGTAATTTGTTATTTTTTCGTTTTTCAAAATAAGGGTTGGGAGTAATATCATATTCTTTTAAGGACAATATGTTTTTATAAGTAATTGAAAAGATCTCTGAATATTTTTCATTCTCTCAAATATAAATTAATAGTATATTTGGATTTGAATGTAAAGAGAAACTGTTCATTTTTTTGAAGATGATGCAATGCAAATATTTCATAGAATCACATGCACCAACATGATTTTCAACCAGTCAGATGTGAAGTTCACTAAAACTACTTTTATTTTGAGTAACTCATTAGAAAGCTGAGTATAGACTCCTACAATCAGATTTCACCAAAATAAAGCTGTTTCAGTAATCATACTTCCATGATATTGCTTCTACAGTGGTAGAGGTTTTTAGGTTGGTTACTTGGAGTTAAGTCCCCAATGATATATTCAAAAATATGAAAAAAAAAGTCCATTAGCCTATTGGCTATTTTACTCAAGACTGATTTATATTCTTCCATTGAGGTATTTTTTCGCGAGTTCCCGTTGATCAGCCACCGCTAATAGAGCGGTTATACCCCCACCAAAAAATAAACCGAAGGACGTTCATCCTTTGATTTCTCACGAAAATGAACCGGTTGTGAGCTGGGGTTTTTGTTTTCGATCATAATATATAATCATAATAAATGGACAGTTGCATTTTGGTTACATGATCTTTGGCTCCGGCCGCTCTGGTGGCTCAACAAAAATCATCTCAAAATGTTCCCAACAGTACTGTCAATGATTGATGATTTTTTTGATTCAACTTCGATTGTACTTGTCTCATCCCATTCAACTTTTCAAAGTACAAAAGTGAGTAGTAGGTATCTCAAAAATAGTTTGAATAATTATAAAAATGTTCACTTCTAATAATATAATACTTCAAAAATAATGATACAATGACACTTGTCAATTACTATAACCGCCAGTAACCATGTTCACAGATGCGGGAACTAGAACAGTTCATGCATAATAAAAAAAGCAATACCTATAGATACCTATTTCACTTTATTGAACTGGTACTGAAGCACCGTGAACTATATAACATTTCACTACCGATTTGGGCACTGTTCGAACATTGTGCTACGCTATTCGGCACCGTTCAATTATTGGTTGTGATAGTGAGGCGTATTCAAATGAGCCAATGAAAATTGAGACGGGTGCCGAATCCTGTAGTGGAATGTTGGTAGCATTAAAGAGAAAGATGGAAGAGGGGAGAACTTTCCTCTCTCGTTCAAGGTAGGGTTCCTAAATGTTCTTGACACTGCTGTTTTGACGTTTTTTGTATATTAAAAAAACGTAAAAATCAGCAGTGTCAAGTACATTTAGGAACTCTAGTTAAAGGTCGAAAAGAGCTTAATTGGGCTCAACCGGCAACTGAATGCACCGGACCAGGTTATCTATGGTGTTTGTACCCACTCACCTACTGTAACCCACACTCTCTCCACCACACACCACACCGACCCGCTTCCAGATCGTGCCGATCGACAAGCTGGTGAAGGGCCGCTTCCAGGACAACTTCGAGTTCCTGCAGTGGTTCAAGAAGTTCTTCGACGCCAATTACCGCGGCACCGAGTACGACGCGGCGGCGGCGCGCGGCGGCGAGCCGATGGGCCACGGCGGCGCCAACGCGCCCAAGGGCCACTCGATGCTGGCGAGGAGGCCGGTGCCGGTCGAGGCGCCGACGCCGGCGAAGGCGAAGCCGATTGGGCGAGCTAGTACGTTGACCAGCATTTCGTCGTTGAAAAGTCAAAATCTGTTATGCGGGGTTTTGTTCTGCTATTCGCGAGATTCACGAAGTGGGCGACATCTAGGTTACATAATACGAACTTCAAACTGGGGGAAAACAAACTGTTGTCCATGGATGAAGTGCATAGACTACAATGCATTCAGCTTGCTGTAGCTGTAGTCAAACTTGTCAATGACATAAAGTGTTGGCACTGTTGGTAGTGATGATGGTTGAGTTGGTTAATTTTTTTACATTATTACATTTTTATCAGTTTAGTGAACGGGTGAAGAATTGGAGATAGTTCAAACAATTCAAACTAATTATGACGAGCAAATCAATTGACATATAATAGAACAGCTACAACATGTTTACAATACCCAGATTGTCCTGCTTTGCAGGAACAAATACAAATCCATTGTTCTACAGGAGTTTCTCTGGACCCCAACTTCAATTTTACTTCATGTGGGGAAGATTTCATCACCGAAGTTTGTAGACAAAGTGCAAAAATGTGCATTTTGTTGAAGTCTTCTGCCTCACACAAAATCACATGATTAGAACGGAGAACTGCTTCTCCTTCCACTACTGGTCGGCTTTTACTATCTGAATAGAGCAAAATATCTGCCAAAAGGACATCTACAACAGGCATTATTAGCGTTTTCGATCGAATATTGACAATTAATGTCACGAAATTTAAAAACTTATCACTCTTATCAGTACACAGTACACAAGCTAATGTCACTAATGGGATTGAGTGAGGATTGAGTTTGTTTTCCCCCAGTTTTGACGTGGCTTTGACATGGAACGATGAAAACCGAGCGCCACATGGTAACATTGATTCCCGTGAATAGGTCGCGTGCATGATACTACCTTGGAGGTAAAATACAATGAACTCAATATAAACACCTGAAAGGGACCCTTTGTGAACGACGAGTGAGGCAAAAATATTGTTCAGGCAACCCGCAGTGTTTATGGATACCTATCTCTTTCTATCTTATGTTGGTTAATGGGGAGCGCTCGCATTATTTGAAATGTTTTCTCGTTATTTGCTTTTATTTAAGACTAAACGTGATTAAATATAAATAATCATTTAGGAAAAAGGATAATGTTGCAATCAATTATCGTTAATAAATTATTATTGATTTTTTCATTGACTTAAAAATGAAATTTCATTTTTATTCTTACAGGATTAGGAAGTCAAATGAATACAAAATTGAAATTATATATTTTCATTCAAATGTCACAATATATTGTACCGGGTGTACCACTAAGAAAGGACGCCGGCTGTATCTCGGAAACTATTTGCCGCACAGGTTTCGGAAAAAAATATTTATGATAAAAGTGGCCAAGAAAAAACTGGGAATTATTTTCAATTTTCCAGGACAGCCGCTAGAGGGCGTAATTGCATTGACCAGTTTAATAAACGGGTTTTTATGTAAATTTGATATATCAAGACATATCAAAAACACAAGTTTTACTCGCGCAATAAAAAAATCCAACCCGTCCTTTTTTGTTGAGACAAACCTAATACTATTTTACACCAATTTTCCACTAAGGTTCACCTTTCACAAAGTTCATACTCACAACTCACTTGTCTATAGCTTCCTGAGAGTACCTATTTTGAAAGGGACCAAAATTGGTTGGTGTTGGTGAAAAAAATTACACGATTTCACGGTAATCTCAGAATTTTGATAGAATTCACAAAACACTTATTTGTCATTATGTTTTATCATATCAGTCATACTTTCATTGAAGGTGTAATGATTGCTGTAGCTTAATGAATGAATAATCTTTTTTTTGCCCACTTACTGAGTCTTGTTTGTACAGCACAATATGCTTTGCTCACTAAATGCACTTAGTTATTCCTTTAGAAAACCGTAAAGCAAGCATTGAATTTTGCACTTTATACGTTAAAAAAACAGCTATGCTGATCTGATCTCGCTGTTGAAAGCAATGTATGTTTTACTGCAGTTACGCTTTTCGAAATATCAATATTGAAATTATTTTCTAGTGCCCAAAGTGAATTCCGTGAGACCAACACCTACTGCTAAACCATCACAAAACAGAATGGCAGGTGATACTGGTAAAGTAGAAGAATTAGCCAATCAAGTAGCTGAATTTAAGGTAATGAAAATGATCGACTTAACTTACATGTACGGTACACCATTCATTTCAACATACATTTTCACTTTCAAGCAAGATAGTAGTAGTGTATTTTCAGCTAATATAATTTTCCATATTATCAACATGACAGTTTTGGAAATACACCAAATCGGAGTTTCATCTAGATGAATCTGGATGAGAAAGAAAATTACTAAACATATTCAAGTCATCAGTAACTCCAAGACCTATATGTTTACTCTCACTACATAGTGTGAGCTAAATCTGTCAAAATCTCTGAAGCCATAAGAGGGGGCCAATATTTTTTGGAATCAATATGGCGCCTGGTTGCACTTAAATCGGAAGAATAGAATATAAGGACATAGTTTGACAGGTCATTGGATTGAATTGAACGTTTTATCTTAGTTTTTTTTCATAAATTATGTTTTTTTTATATTCAGCAAGGTCAACAAATAACCGGTAAACATTTGTTTCAAATTCATAGCTGAAATTATTGTTTTAGTAGAAGATTCATTTATTATCATGAGCATATGTCACTTTTACCATAGAGTTCATTTTTATTTTTTATTCACTGTCTACGGTGACATTTGCCAAGACTTTTATCATTAATTATTTTTCCAGTTAACAATTGATGGCTTAGAGAAAGAACGTGACTTCTATTTTGGGAAACTGAGAGATATTGAAGTCATGTGTCAAGAGAGTGAAGATGGCAATCCTATAATCCAGAGAATCGTAGATGTTTTGTATGCTACCGAGGTGAATATTGGCAACAAGCGTTATATAATTTTTTGCCGAATATTTGTTCATTTGTTTTTCTTGTCGTTTCAGGAAGGATTTGCTCCACCTGATGAGGTGGAAGGTGGTGTTGGAGATGAGGATGAATATTGAGAGAAAAACATGGCCTTTGATACAATCTCCTTAAATTATTTTTCAAAACTTGTAGCAACATTATTTTAATTATTATCCAGTTAAGTTTATATTTGATAGTTTTATAGGTGTTGCTTACAAGGTGTGTCTGATCAAGTTGTAAATCGTTAATGTTTCCACATTCTTTTTTTATAAAATGTCACTGCTATATTTTACTGTTGTTTAATTCGTCATATTTATGCAAATTCATCATGTCATTAAAAACTCCAGTCAACTTTCATCTATTGAATCTGAAACTTCCATTACCTCTGAACTAGAAGCAGTCTGAGTCACAGCAGGTAAAATTAAGAGAAAATGTGTTTCATGAAGTCGTCTGGGTTCTTTATTTTTCAGTTATTTTTTGAAGATAATATGCCTGTCATGTTTAGAAGCAGATTTTCGTTTTATGGAAAATGGTGATTTTATTTTCCTGCCTTCCTAAGATCTTTAATTTCTACATGCTGACTAATCTATGATTCCTACTAACAAAATTCATTAAGAGGTGAGTGATGCATGTTTTTTATTACCTAACAAAACCATCAGTTCCTAAATTTATTCATGTGATACGACATTCGATCTAAATTCCTACAGGATGCTTTAATTTAAAGATATTGCAATACATTTCAAGCATTAGCTTTGACTTGAAAACTTTGAAGCATTTGAGAAATGAAATATGAATTCATTGGATAATGGATAATTTTAATATGAAAAGCAATAGGTATAGTTACAAAGTACAAATCATTATAACTTATTAATGGTATTTCAGCATGCCAAAAGGTGTAAGTCATATCAATTTTTGAAATTGGATAAGCAATGATTATCCTTGAATCATTTAACAGTTGATAAGGTAACGAATAGTGTTCATTATCTTTTTTTATCTTCGAACTGTCTCAGTGTCAACAATAGGAACTGAATTAAATACAATTTAATTTACGACATTTTGACATTTATCAATATGGATTACTCAGAATATCCTGAGACTTCTGCTTCGACTATCGGTGGTAATAATATCCAACTCGGGAGTAACATACACCCCAGATATCCACCCGAACCCTTCTTTGCTCCCTAGTATCCTCACCAAGCTGCCGTCAGGCTGGAAAACTTGTATCCTGGCATTCCCAGCATCCCCTACATGAATGAACCCTAAACAATCCACAGCCACCACCTCGGCCGATCTAAACTCCCCTTTGTTCCTCCCGAGTCGCCCTATTTCCCTCAGAAGAACCCCCTTGGTGTTGAAAATCTTGATTTTGTTGTCGCCAGTATCGGCCACCATGATATTCGTGCCGTGCACAGCAACGCTAGTAGGCATGTGTAGTTCATTTGTGCCTATGGTGCCGAGCAGTGTCCCTGATTCAGGGTCTATGGTTACCACCCTGTTGTTCCCGGTATCGCAGACTATGAGATTGTTATCGGGGCCCATTGCGATGCCATCGGGGCTCCTCAGTTTTGGTTTGTTCAGAGTGCGCATGTACTCATTCTCGTTCGAGAAGACGTGTATGCAGTGCTTCCACTTATCGGTGACGAACATTTCTTCTGAGGTTTCGCAGAATGCTAGATTTGTAGGGCATAGCATGTCAGGGTAAGTGATTCTGCCGATGAGCTTGAACTTGGATCTGTCGAGGATGAGGATTTGGTTGGTGTCTGTGGCTGCCACGTAGATCTTGGTGGTGTCCCAAGGGGGTATTGCTACCCCGCCAGGTCTAGGACATTTGGTCCATATGAGTTTCGGGGTGAACGATCTGTTTTTGTAGTAGTTGATCATGGACGCGACACTTTCGTATGGGTTTTCGACGAGGGTGTGTTTTAGATTGTCGCTGTCCAGGATGTCGTTGTAAATTCCTTCTTCGTCTTGTTCTATTTTTACTTTTTCCGGATCGAACATTACTCTTCCTTCGCCGTAGTGGTTGATTTCTTCTAAGAGTCTTGCAGTTTCCTTGCGAACGTTCATGTAAGTGCTTATCTGAAAAAAATCACTGTGATATGCGATATATAAAGAGATTTTGTTTTTTTACCTTGTTTGTTCTAACTTGAGCATCATTTATATTCACCAGTATTTTCTCTTTCAAAGAATCCGCCCTCGCATCAATCATTTCGTAAATAACTTTTCCTTGTTCTTTTATCAATTTTACTTCTTCTAATGCCACCCCTTCCATTTTTTTGAGCTCTTCGATTTTTTCTTTTATGGTTGTTTCGATAGTCTCTACCAGAAGGTCGCAACGGTTGGCAAAATTGTAAGATTTATGCTTCAATTTCATTTTCGAATCATCTATCTGCCTAACTAACGCATCTAATTTCGAGTCCAATTCGCTGATGTGTTCTTGCCAACAAATTGAACAAAAAATCTAAAAAATACTGAGTATAGAAATACACTGAACGTCAGGTCCTTAAGGTTGTGTAGAAATGTTCAACAAATTGGTTGAGTGGAAGAAAGCACTTGTTCGACTCAACACCGAGTCCGAACCAGAGCTAACTCTGCCTTTTGATAGATGATGTTACCTTTTTTTGTTAACCATTATCTATCAATAAAAGCGATTATTATTATTATTATTATATTAAATTGATCGAAAATAGGACTAAAGTTGAATTCAAGGGCAGCCCAGATTTTCTCTTATGGTACCAACAAAAATAGAATTTATTTCTTCATTGTTCTTGAATATACTAGGTGTTTCCAAAATTGGGGCGATAAATGCAATGGATGATAGAAGACGAAGAAACAAAACGAAATGAGGGAATAATTGTTTGTCGAAAAAAAAAATACTTTTGGAAATCATCGATCAGAGGTTAATAGTGTTTGCTTTCGGCGAGATCACAAGCACCGGACGTTCAATAATAGTTGATGTAGTATGGTGGGAGCGCACATTTCTTGATTTTTTTTTTTATTTATCGTGTTATTATGTCTTATAGGACACATGGTGTATTTTATTTTATTTATTGCCCCAATTTCGGAAATACCCTGTTTAAAAACTTCAAATATATTCAGGAACTGTATTTCATCCATTCCAACTAAGAAGACAGCTTTGGAAATCATAGAGAAGTGTTGACCTTTGATGTTAATATTGGAAGTAATATTACATCTGCGTGATATTATGATTTATGACGTGACTTCAACTTGAAGCTTATTTTTAAGATGATCAGATCATCACATTTCATTTATTCGTCATAAATCCTGAGAATAAATTCGAACACAAAGTGGAATTCAATCATCAGAAAATGTTCGACGTACGTCGAATCAACAATTTAATGTATCTATAGTATATCCAATATCAATTGCAGAATATTCCGCACTGTGCGGCGTCGGCGTGTCTGAAGATTCCTTTGAAGTGATTGCAGGTGCGGCAGAAGATTCTGCAATAATTGTTTTTGGATAAACTTTACCTACATTTTGCAAGCAATGTCGAGAATATATTCCTTGAGGGGTACCTGAAACCACCATCAACATGTTTATTTCAAATGCAACCCTATGGCTGGTGACTCCTCATTGGAAAACTGGTGGAAAGAGGAATCCAGCGTACTGGTAAAATTTTAGTTCTTTGTACGTTCAAAGGTTGCATGAGATCAGAAAGTAATTTTAAAATTCAATTTATTTTCAACGTAACAGTTGCTCAAAATGTTTGTTGAGCAATAATTGATGGCATTTTTATGCCACAACTGCTATCTGCTACTGTCAGCCAGTGTTTTCATAGGGCCGCCAAAAGAAATTTAGTTTCCATGCCGTATTCACAGTTCGAAACGAGGAGTTGTTGCAAACTGGTAAGAATGTCTTATATCACATACATATTTAGATTTGATGCGACTCCCAAATGTACTGCAAATTTTATCAGTACGCTGTATTCTTGTTTCAACCAGCTTACTTATGAGGGGTCACAAGCCATAGGGTTGCATTTGAAAAAAAAAACATATTGGGACTGATTTCAACAGCTACCCCTGAAGGGTTATATTCTTCATAATGCTCGCAAAATGAAGGTGAATACATTAAAACGTTGACGTATCCCGCGAATTTTCAGTTAGTTTTCACCCTGTATTTATTTCTTCAGTGTAAACATTCCTCCAGAGGCAGGGCCACCTACTATTTTCTTATTTGGAATGTATGGTCAATTCATGCACGACTTAACAAAGCCCTAACCAAGACCTAACTTAACATTGCCTTAAAAATGATCCATAGATGTTCATACACAACTTAACGTAAATATTTACGCATGTGCAGAATCATGTATTTGGTATCTGTTTTGTTGTAAATGAAGGAGTACTGCTGTACTAAAATGACTAAACTGATGAGTTCACTGTCGTCAAACATAATGTTATAAACAAAATAACAATATTTCGAACATTTTGAAAAATGAGTTGAAAGTTTGAGGTTATGGATTATTAAAACTAACTATTTACAATTTCTGTTGGCATTAATGCTTGACCATGCGCAGTACGCGATTTGCACGAAGAAATGTGAAATTAAGTTGAAAGTTGGCCAATTTATGACTTTCTTAAGTTACACTTAAATCCTTAAGTTGCGTGCATGACCGTTATCATCGATTATTCAAATTTCAACTTCTTAAAGTTAGGGTTAAGTTAAGTTAGGACTGAGTTACGTCGTACATGAATTCACCAGTAGATAAGAAAGTCCAAAGCGTCTAGAACTCTAGAACATCTCATCTCCCATCACGCCAGTCCTGTCTATCTAAAATCTAAGCTTTCACACGTTAAAAGGTAAGGCCCCCGTCATTCCTTGATCGCACAAGTATCTCGAAGACTTCTGAGGGTTGCTCGTAAGGGGGCAACCGAATGACGGATAGAACAATTTTAGAACAATTTAGCTAAATTCTATTTCGTACAAATATCTGCTGAAGTGCAGGGGTGTCGGAGTGTTTATAGAGAAAAAATTGTCCGAATAGAGCCAACGGTTTTTTGATGTATAATAAATTGATATTCATCATACAGGACGTGGAATGAAATTCTGAATTAAGAAAACCTTATCAACAATCTGCCCCGAGACGTTTGTAGTCTTATCACTAACTTCAAAACTATATTTTATATTACCTGCATACAATGTTGGCAAACGTGTTCTTCTCCATCGGAAACCGTTTGGCACTTGATGCATCGATAGTCAGAAGCAGAGGCCGCCTGCGTCGAAGTAGGCGTTTTATCCTCTGCCAGCAGTTTCAGCAGCGAGTCGATATAGAAGTTCTTCGGCAGAGAATCCAAGGACCTCAAGCCGTCATCGAGCACGTGCGTCCTTTGACACATCGGACAGTTGATGGATTTGATGTCGCGCGAAACCGAGTATTTCATGTCCGGTTTGGCGATCAGGTTTTTGGCGGTCAACAGCGTTTGCAGGCATGCCAGGCAGAAAGTATGCTGACAAGGGAGCATGCGGGGGTCCGACAGTTTTTCCAGGCAGATGCCGCATTGTACCAGTTCTTCTAGGGCTCCCAATGAGTCGCTCCTGAAATTAATTGAATCTACCAAGAAGCCAACGGCTCGAAACCGGCCTGCAGGTGATTATGCGTTACCTGACATCAGGTCAAGGACAATGGGCGAGCGGACTTATAATGAATTATTGGCGTTTAATTACTCCAGTGTGTCGTTAGGGACCTAAATTGATTTTTGTAACACTTCTCACACTTTTTTCATGTGAATAATGAGTGTATGCGTTGTTCGAAATTGTTGAATTTCGGAGCTCATTTCAAACGTACCGTCATGGCCACTATTTAGCGATACTTCGAATAAATGGTGACGTCAGCTTGTATGCTGTTTTGTTATTGGTCAGATAATCTTTCATTCCCACTCACGAAGCAAGGTTGTCAAGCCACCAATTATAATCAAGTTATCAAAAAGATGTGAGAGTCCTGTCGTTGAATAAAACATAATAGGAGGAACCCATGATATTATAGTTTATTCTTGACTCTTTCGAGCAACCAGCATGTCAAAATATACACCATAATCTATAAAAAAAATTCATGTAAATGTTGGAGACTTGGCAATATTGTGCTGAATGCTGAGAAGGGACAAGACCACGCCCACCAGTCGTGCGCGCGGTGTTGTCACGTTCACCGCTTCAAATGTCCTCTAGTGTGAATTAATATAATTACTATTTACACAAATGTATAAGCAATAAACCACAAATCATCATTTTAGGATAATTGATTTTGTATTGCTAAATAGGAATATTACCAATACATAATTGAGAATTTATTAATGATTGAATAACTAATATTTCCATGACCACATGGCTCTATGCCAGCGTCATCAGACCTATGATAGCATATGGGTCAGTAGTTTGGTGGCCAAAGACACAACAGGCTGGAGTGATTCGAAGGCTCAGTGCTATTCAAAGGCAAGCTTGCCTGAGTGCCACTGGTGCAATGAAAACCACTCCAACAGCCGCTTTAGAGGTCCTCTTGAACCTGTCACCACTACAAATATATATTCAAGGCGAAGTCAGAGCAGTCGTGAGTAGATTGTCAAGGGGTCAAACACCCATAAGCAACGCGCACGGTAAAGACTATAGAAAGGTATATGAAGAGTTGGAAAGCGACCCCATCATGGGAATGCCAACGGATGGCATAATTCCAAAATATAGCTTTGAAAAAACTTTCAAAATAAGTATAACGGACAAAGAGGCATGGAAGGAAGGACCTCCTATCAATGCAGACATTGCTGTCTATACGGCCGGCTCCAAAACTGAGGAAGGATCAGGAGCTGGTATTTATGGGGCCAAGCCAAAGACAAGAATCTCACTGAGCTTAGGTAAGTACGAGACGGTGTTTCAGGCAGAAGTTATTGCAATACATCATTGCGTGAAATAATTGATAAGGCAAGAGTTTAAAGGCAAAACTAGTATGGGACTGCATAGAAACCCTAAATGAACTGGGCAGTCAGAACAGACTGACTCTAGCATGGGTACCAGCACATACAGGGTACGAGGGCAATGAAGAGACAGACTCACTTGCCCGAGCAGGAGCAAACAAAGCTCTGAATGGCCCAGAACCCTTCTGTGGTATTGCGAAAGCTATACAAAAGACTAGTATCAAATCATGGATGCAAACCAAATCTCAAGAATGGTGGAACAACTCGCCAGGTATGAGACAGTCAAAAGAGTTTATTAAAAAACCATCGCCAACATTCACAGAATATCTACTGAGTCAGAAACGAAGTTCAACTAGAATACTAGTGGGACTTCTCACAGGGCATTGTAGACTCAACAAACACATGAGTACGATAGGTTTGACTGAAGAACTGCTGTGCAGGTTCTGTCAGGAAGAAGAGGAAACAGCAGTACACATACTTTGCCACTGTGAGGGCTTGTCAGGACGAAGGTTCCTTACGCTGGGTGAGGAAAAACCAGAAGCCCAAAGATACACAGGGGATCTGAAAGCTAGCCTATGGAGTCTTGTAGAGAAGGCGGGGCTAGCCGAAGAATCGATTTTGGGGGCAGACACAATAGATCTGAAAAGGTCGCGGTGTGGAGGCAGATAGCCCGAAGGCCCCATTCTAAATCTAATCGTTTAAATCTAACTAATATTTCTAATTCTAAGTTCCCAATCGTATTTCAACACATGCCTACTGTGCTATGGTCTGCCCCTACTTACGAAAACGTGACATCAGTTTTTACTCGCGGTGAATTTCAATCCGTTTAAAAATGATTTTAGCACCTAAAAATCGACCAGAAAATTCTGAAAAAATATGAAATCGGACGGTATTTGAGTGGTGATTCTATTTGAGAAATAAGAAAAATTAGAACACTCGCCGATTTCTAGAAAAAATACTATGACGTTCATCATGATGAGGAAAGGCACAGAGAAATTGTTTGAATTTTTCATTGCTCTTATAGATTTCCTAATATGAATTCCTATAGAAACACGGCGGAAAATCGTCTGCGGTACTTAAACACGCCGAATTGAGATGAACAGCGTTGCCGTCTCAACCGATTCTTCAGCCTATTTGGATATTTTATCATTCTTCGCTCTCAAGATTTAACTGATTTCCACTGTCATGAATAATAATAATAATAATAATATAAGTTTATTCAAAAACGTTTACAAAATATACATTGGAATAAACATATAGGTAATTTGAATGAACTGGGAAAAACCTTACGAAGTTAACCTTGTAGTAAGGATAAAAAATAAATAAATGTACATAGGTCAATAAATATTTAACAATATCAAATTATCACAAGGGAAAATTGTCTCATTAAGAAATGAGACAAGTATTCAATTCAGAATATATAGTGTACTGAGCATTTCATTCAATACGCATAATTATTTATATTCATACATACTTATTCACAATTATTATTAAAATTTATCTAATGATATTATTAAATGTTAATTAAAGAAATAAAATAATTTTTAGGGGAGTTTAATATCCAGTTTTTTATTTTTATTGTATAGGATTGTAGTGATTTTGTTTTTATAATATCATTTGGAATTTTATTATATAGGTAAGGAATTAAAAATTTAAAATTTCTACGTCCAAATGACTTGTTTGTTTTATATTTCAATGTTATGTTATTTTTATTTCTTATGTCATAGATATGTTTTTTGAACTGAATGTCCTTTTTTTTTTTGAAAATATGAATCAGTAAATTGTAAATATAGAGTTGATTTATATCCATTTTCTTAGATTCCTTATATAAAAGTTCAGTTGGAAACAAATATTCTTTTCCATAAATAATTTTTAAAATCAAGTTTAAAACTCACTTGGTCTTGTTTTCTCAGAAAGAGGATTGTGACATATTATGACATAAATATTAGAGTGATGCCATCAGAATTGAGGTTCTGAAAGTAGTTGTTTTTCTCGTTATCTACCGTTATCGTTCAATTTATTGAACATTTCATTTCATTCCATCTGCACTAATTCGGGATTCAAATTCATCTGTAATTTATCATTTTTTCTTATTCACGATTTATCCAGAAAAGTAGTCATTTTCCTATTATATCACAACAATAACTATGTTTTCATATAAAAATTGCATCTATAATGTACTTACTTAAGTCTTGAAGACTGCCTCAACATTGTTTTAGGTGTCCTTATTGGTTTATTTTCTACATGTTTCTTGAAATGTTCCTTTTTATCACTCATATTCACTTCATCAATCAACTAATAAAATTGAATCCTTCATGACGAACAGTATCCAACTCGACCTTATCTTCAATGTTGTTGATAATTTTCGAGATTAGGTGATTAAAAAGGATTCATTGTGATTGATTGTGTGGAGATTCGAGTTTTGTTTTCTGTTTATCGATAATGTATGTATGGTGATGAAATCAGATTTTTATTTTCCAACAATGCTTGGATATTTCAACAGTTACCAAATTTATCTATTCAAAAATTACGCAACGGTAGATATAGAAAATGGGTTTCCTTTTTTGTGTGATACACATAGACACGATTTATTCAATATCCGATGGAATAATTGAACCCCTACAGAATTTTCAAATCATACAAGAAGTCAAGTTACACCTTGTTAGAGAGGTACCTTCATCTAAGTATACAGGGTATGTCACGACGAACTTACACTATCTCTATATCTCTATATTGAGAATCAGTCGGGAGAAATCCATGAAATTATGCATGCTTATATTTTAGGATACGCTCTCTTCATTTGAAATATTTTCAGCAATCTATCAAAAAGTAGCAACAACTTTGTCATTTCAAATAGAATACCCTGTATTTTAATGCAGTTTTAGATTCTTCCTGAAGAGCTGATTTCATCGATACATCACACTTGTGGTCTATCGGAAATGATAACTGAGATATACTGGGTGTTATTTAAGTATGTAGCCAAACATCAAGGGATGATCATTTGGGTGATTCTAAGACGAAAAGTTTTTGTAAACATAGGTCCAGAATTGATTCGTTTCCATGATACAGGGTATCAAAGTTTCGATATAAAATCGTTGTTTTATCAATTAAGTACTCAAAATTTTGTTTTTCAATCATAATGAAACTTGATGATTTTGTTAACAGTATCAAGAAGCTTCTTTTGTCGTAATAACATCGGAAGTAATGATTCCATTGGCGTCGCCGTGGGTTACCTTTTCGATTTGTATGGTAAATAAAGCACCTACGCCATAGTTTTTTCCAAGTTCGATATTTTTATGAGATTGAACAATCGAAAATACAACTTCCTTGTTCTCTATTTCATTTTTGTACATCACTTAGTATTATGAGTATTATTCTGAAATTTGGAGACTTTCCTAGTCACCAATCAGACTAAATTTTGCCATCATGAAAGCTTATACAGGGTAATCATGAAGAACAGCAATCAATTCTTCCATCTTCAATGCCCTGTATCTTGAAAACGAAGCAGTTTAGGACCTATGTTTATATGAACTTTTCGTCTTTCAATCACCCAAATAATCGCCCCTTGAAGTTTGGCCAAATACTTAGATAACACCCTGTATAATCTTTATAAACCTAGGCAATTGTTAGATATCAACTCCATCTACAAATTCAACATATAATATATTAAATTTCATCCATTCCGTCAAATATAATTATAAACATTCAAATCTGAATTTTGAAGTCAATAGACATAAACACGAACACATAACCAGACAAAAAGATATGTCAACTCTCATCAAAATTGAATCAAATATGGGTAAAAGATCTATTTTATACAATGGAACAATTCTCTATAATGAATTACCTGCCAGAAATTCAGAAAAGAACTGAAAAAATACTTATGTCTTTGATTCTCTTTTTTTTTTTTTTATTCTAAAATTGTTCTATCCGTCATTCGGTTGTCCCCTTACGAGCAACCCTCAGAAGTCTTCATCTTAAATCAATTGAGGAACTTATATTCAACAGTCTCTAGACAACATTATATGTTTCTTAGGAATAATAAAGTTAATTATTATTATTATATAGAGTGTTCAAAATCGAAATTTTTCAACTTTATTTATATGTTTTCATCTGAATAAAATCATTACAATATAGATGGTATATTTATTTTTTTCCAGTATTATTCGGAAAACAACTTTTTAAAAATATGTCTCTTGTCCAACTACAAAAATATGAGAATATGAGATTAATTTCTAACTGTTTTCTGAGCTGTTTTCAACTTCGCCCCACTTTTTGGGTAATGATTGAACACACAAAAAATTGGACTTAACTAATTTTTTATATCATATACAATATGGAACCAGATACAAGATTTTTTTATCATTTTCAATTTGTCTAACAACTCCCCACTTGATGGTACTGTTCCATTGTACTTAATCACAGACGGTTTTTTTACGAGTAATACAATGAAACAGTACCTACCATTACCAATAATCTGGACCAAAATTGCAATAAAATTCAGATCTGCCAACTGCTTTTTTGCGGAAATGGATAAAAAAATAAAAAATAGACCGTTGTATAAAGATTTACATATCTCTAACTCTCTATAGTCCAATAAAATGGCATTTGCACGTGAAAAAAAATCAATTAGTCGGTTTCACTGCGGTTTTATATGATTTCGGTATATACTTTTTTATCTATTGGAATCCAAAAGCGAATGGCAAAAATGGAAATCCGATTCTATAGGGTATTTTCCAGTAAATCAATCTTCGCCAAGGATCCGTTAACGGGACGAGATTGAAGACAAGTTGAAGACGACCGGTTTTCGTCGGGTATTACTTGGTCACTGGGACTTGTGACTTGTGCACCGGTTCTTCTGCTTCAGCTTGCGACCAAACAAAACACCTGTGGCGGCCCGTTTGTTTGTTTCCTTTTAAGGACGTCTTCAATACATACCATACAGGGTGTCCCGAAATTACATAGAAAGATTTCAGCCACAGATTCTAGGAACGAAAATAGTAAAAAAAGTGCTTAAAACATCATTTTGAGTTGACTCTGCCGTTACTTGATGGAAATCCATGACGAAGCTACTGTGTTAGCGAAACATGTCGTGTGTTTGAGAATTTTGTGGAAATCTTCTATCTATCTGAAATACAGTGTGTCCCACTTACCATGCTCACCATGGGTATCTTTTTAACGGTGAGAGATACGAGGTCGGTTAAATGACACCAAATGTGGAGTTTGTCAGAGCCAACTATAATGTGAAAAAACATTTTGATAAAATCTATTTGTTCCTGTTTTATACGCAAAAACAGATTTTGATCATTTTCATGTCTCCTCCGTAACTTCTTTATTTGTGAAAATATTCGAATAGGAATTTCACATTCTCATGGCAGTTTTTCAAAGTGATTTCGAAAAGAATATGAAATTTATAACAACTCTTCTAGAATTTGAGATATCAGCATCAACTTTAGTTTTTCAAATGTAGGTCATAGCTCACTATGACTTAGTTATAAATATTTTTTTTTCTCTTTCAGATGATATGTCGCAGTAATAGTTTTGTGTTGATAACAACGGAGTTATCGTCATTTATACAAAAAAAAATTATTTGGTAGCCGCCATCTTGAATTTATGAATTTTAACAAGAAAATCATGATCTCCGACCTCAAAAACCCCCACTTACCAATTTTGAATGGAATCGGACCAGATCTTGTCCGCCATCTTGGAGCAGCCATTTTTTTCAATTTCAACAAAAATTCCATAACTTGAAAGTTGACAGGTGTTCATAATTTCGGTGACAATACATTATGGAATTTTTGTTGAAATTAAAAAAAATGGCTGCTCCAATATGGCGGACAAGATTTGGTCCGATTCCATTCAAAATTGGTAAGTGGGGGTTTTTGAGGTCGGAGATCATGATTTTCTTGTTGAAATTTATAAATTCAAGATGGCGGCTTCCAAATAATTTTTTGTTCTTGTATAAATGACGATAACTTCGTTGTTATCAACACAAAACTATTACTGCGACATATCATCTGGAAGAGAAAAAAAAGTTATTTGTAACTAAGTCATAGTGAGCTATGACCTACATTTGAAAAACTAAAGTTGGTGCTGATATCTCAAATTCTAGAAGAATTGGTATGAATTTCATATTTTTTTCGAAATCACTTTGAAAAACTGCCATAACAATGTGAAAGTCCTATTCGAATATTTTCATAAATAAAGAAGTTACGGAGGAGACATGAAAATGATCAAAATCTGTTTTTTGCGTATAAAACAAAAACTAATAGATTTTATCAAATTTTTTTTTCACATCATAGTTGGCCTTGACAAACTCCACAGTTGGTGTCCGACCTCGTATCTCTCACCGTTTAAAAGATACCCATGGTGAGCATGGTAAGTGGGACACACTGTATAGTTCATTTCATGCCCGATTTTGAAATGTTGAGAATCTTCCGAAATTTTTATCAGGGACGTGGGAAATAGGTGAGGCTAAGGGCATTTCTTTCCCGAACTTTTTTTTCTATGCAATTTTCGGCAGTGTGGCCAGGAAATATGAAAATATCATCATTTTAACCTAAAAGTGATACACCGGTTTAGTTTCGATAGGTCGCGTGCACGATGACCGACCCTGGAGGCAAAATATTGAAACACAACCTCATTCTTCTGTGAATTATTGAAACACAACCTCACTTTTTTACTTGGTTACAGAGGAATCAAAGGATTGAACTAGTTTTTCACAATATTTTGGCATACGAATCGTGTTTTTTGCGCTATTCATTAATTCGAGCATGCCTTCGCATTGTGCTGTTGTACAGTGCACAAAAAATGCAGCAAGAGACTAAAGAATATGATTTTTCAGGTAAATAGTTAATCTCATATAGTTATTTATCATCATGAAATGTTGTCATTCCTTATTGAAATTCCTTCTGCCTTCTGTCACTTCTGCAATACAAGCTAATACTGCTAATAGATTGAAAATGTCTACAACACACACGATCGTCAGCATGTCAGACCAGTCCTCCCGATTGATTGCATGAATCCAATTTTCTGGCATTATTTTAGAAATTTCAGATGTATTTCTATTAGCTTCTATCGCAGAAAGAATTCCGATGAGAAATCAGAGAAATTACCAAATTTCAAAAATGAAAACTATATGTGAGTGACTATAGTAGGTACTTACTTTTGAATCATATTGTACCAACCGGATTACTTCGTCTTCCGCTGCAGTTTTTGTGCATTTCACAACAACATAATGTGATGGCATGAGCGAATTGATGAATAGCGGAAAAATA